ATATTCGAGAAAGTTTAGGGGAGATCACTCCCGGTTTATTATAATATGTACTTACCTCGATAAACATTGAGTTAATAATTGAATTAATACCAAAAGCAACCTTTTAAAGCCCGAAATAACGGATGAAAGCAAAAATGTGTCGTCACACTTTCCGATCACCCCTTCCCATAAATGAAAAAAAAAGCCTGAACATACTAAAGGAGAGTATGGATGTTGATGGAGGATCCCAACGTTAAAAATTAAAACAGGGCAAAATTTCAGGAATCCATGTTACATATTATTATTTTCCTTAGGTATAACAAAAGTATTGACATTGTGTTTTATATTTTACGAGCCGCTATCATACACCGCTATTTAGTTGTTTCATTTTCTACTTTTCAGTAATTCATAATTTGTGAATTCGACAGTAACAATGCTGCCACTGAAAATATTTGCTTTAAAACACTATCACTAGCTCGTTAAGGACGATAACCTCCCCCTCCCCACCCTCCTTTCCCACAAACCCTACCCCCCCCCCCTCCCAGTGAAAGCAGCCCCCTCTGAGTTACCTCCACTAAGTTTAAAATCGTTTCAAACTAAATTATCTGCCCCTAATAGCTGTCAATAAACCCGGCTCTACGATTGTAAACATTTAGCTTGAACCACAGCTCACCAGACCATGTATGGATGGGGGTAGTAGAGATAGAGAGAAAGAGAGGGGGCTGCTAGGGGCGCTTACCGCTTGGTGTTTTCTATGGTAACCATGAAGAGAATTATTTATATAGAAGAAATATATATTAAACCAGCGTACCCGTCCCGCGCGTTGCTGCGGTCTCAGAAGACAGACTGACGCAATATTTTAAGAGGATTCCATAATTACATTAGCAAACACGTATTTTTTTTACGCTTGACATTGATTTCTAAATCTAAACAATTTAAATGTAATCAAAGCCGGTAATATATTGCTTTCATCATAGTTGTTGAGGCGCAAATTCTACCGCACACAGTAGCCCATTGTATCCATAATGTATCGCACTCTTTAAAACGAACGTAGGCGCAATACTGTTTATGAGGGACCCACACAGAGGCGCTAGACCACACGCCAGTGGTGCAGTAGACAAAAGTTTCCCTACTGTAGGGCGCTCTTTTAAAACTCATAGTGTTCCTCCCGAAGCCAGGGGCGCACCGGGTCAAAAGAATTGTCATCGAATGTCGTGTGCCACAGAGTCAATATTGTAGAGTGCTCTTCAACACAACCTCAGGATATCCCAGGGCGCCAAATCGCATCCTGCCGGGGCGCCGGCAGACGCGCCTAATTCCATATAGTCAACAATTATTGTTGTCCATCGTGTCTTTAGTGTATAAATTAAAAAAAAAAACGAACGTAGGCGTCATAGTGTTCACATGGTAGCACGGGGCGCTTCGGGTTACGTAATATCCGGGGCGCCGGCGGCTGCGCCTGTTGTTGCTTTTTTACCTTAGCCCCCATGCAGAAGGCTCAAGTTTTAATATCGCCGCCCTGGATTTTCGGGCGCCAAGCCCTTTATAAAAAAATCGCACCCTCCAGGGAAACGCCCATAATAAATTTTAATTTTTGTTTTCGCAGAAACCTTCTCGTGAGTGGTTTCATTAACTCTCGAAAGTTTAACGGCACTCAGATGAACGATGTCAAACAGCATCCGTTTTGTTTTTTACAAACTGTGTAGAGAAAAATTGCACCCTCCAGGAGCGCCGCCCTGTTAAAATAAAATAAAAGAATTTCTTACTGTAACCTCCCCTGAAGTTTTATGGCGAGCGGATGAACGGGATTAAACCGCAATCTACTTTTTCGTATATATACCCTATATAGGGAAGAATCGATTCGCGCCCTGCTGGGGCACCATGCTTGTGAAATATATCCAGTGGTATTCTTAAGTTGCATGGCCATAGGATGAAAGGTGTAGTGCTGCATAGAGGACAAAAACAAACCCACAAACAAACAAGCAAAACTTCATTATATATATACATAGAGAGAAATATACATAATTCTGCATATATATATATATATATATATATATATATATATATATATATATATATATATATATATATATATATATATATATATAGCTACATTTGGTGACTTCCCATTTTCCACAATGGCGTCAAATTTTGCACATAATCCACCTATTAATTCATGTGAAAAAAAGCATCGTTTTCATCGTAAATTATTAGATTTTGGTATCAGCCTCTCTCCGGTCGTCGCTTAGCAAATCTGTTATCCAAAAATTCAACAAGCATGTATTCACCTGTACATTTTGCCGTTTGTGTCATCTCCCTTCACCCCCCCCCCCTGGGTGATAGTTTTTAAACGTGCACAGTTAATTGTATATTTTTTTTATCTGCAGTCAGTTATTAGTACAGTTAACTCTCATTAGTCATTTATTGAACTGGCAAAATGCATACTTCTTCTATATATTTTGCTATTTTTCGCCATGGTGTCACCCCCGAAATTTTGCCACCTTGCGCAGTCCTCAGCCCCGCCCCCCACCTTGTGACGCCTCTGGTTAGGGGTACTACTTGAGTACAGTAAATATGTATATATATATATATATATATATATATATATATATATATATATATATATATATATATTTATATTTATGGGGGGGGGGTATAGCCCCTTGGCACACCTTGTACCTACGCCACTACATAAACATGTTCTTAAGATTATATAGCACATTCTATGTATAAATTCGATAAAAATAGCTATTACGTATTCTACAATTTTATATTTGTAATAACATATTGTAAACGAAATGAGTCTTAAATTCGATTACAAAATGGGCCTTTATATTATGTATTTTTTCTATTTTGCAATCATATCATGTATTACTTGTTGTATAGCCTAGATTCTATAATAATATACTAATATATTCTATATTACATAATCCTATATTATATCGTTTAGTAATCTCTACCCTAATGTTTTCTATACCGAATAATCAATATTCTGTAATTCTAATTGTGTATAAATTAATCATATAATCTCTAAAATTAATCATAACTATGATCACAATTAAATTCAGCAATCCACTGTATTAATTTATATTGCTAAAAATAATTTAATTTTCAATTTTAAAGACAGAAGATACATTTTTTATAATATTAATTATTATTAGCTCCGTAAAGTGAATGGTTGTTTAATTTTTCTTATATTAAATATTTTAAGCGATTAATTAATCGAAATGGTTTTATTCCGTTAACTAGTTTTTACAGTTTATAACTATAATTAGAGTCTCAACGACAGAATCAAATGAGAAAAAATCTATAGCGTTATTATATACCGACACTGTTGATAAGCCACTCAACGACAGTGTCGTTGAGAATAGTGTATGATCGGCTGACTTAACACTACATAACATCTTTCGTGCTATAAAACCCTTGATGTATTGGTATGGCTAAGACGAGGTTTAGTGAATAAACTAACTGACAAGAACAAGTCACGGGGGGGGGGGGGGGGGAGAATTCGGCGCTATACTAGGAGAATAAATAAAAAATTATAAATCTAGAAAAAGTCATGAGTTAGAGTAAAAATAAACTACTAGGAAAAAGTCAAGCAGCCAGCCCACCTAATCTCATTATGTGAGTTTGGTATTTTTTGGTGAGATGCAGACTTCCAGACTTTTTTTCCTTTTTTTTTCTCGGGGGGGGGGGGGGGGGGGAAGTATTTGATATTTGGAGGGGGGGGGGTCGGACGAGGGTCGGACACCGGTGAGAGTATGTTTTCTATTCCATTTCTTTCCTGGGGAGGGGGGGGGGGCGGTAGACTTTATGCGCCCCCGTGAAAATCAAAGCAAGATCCTCACGACATAAATCTACCCCCCCCCCCCAACCAACACGCGATTACGCTCGTGTTGTAAGCAAATCCAAACACAGTAGCTCACGTTAACTTTCTGTTTTTTAACAAATCGTCCTACGATTGTGCAAGTTTAAAATTTGAAACAAAATACTTTTACAAGAAAGAGTCACTCCGAGTGTTAGTAGTAGTGGTCTTACTCTTAAAAGTTTTTTTTTTTAAAAATGTTTTTTAAAACCAACAAAACACTCCCGAAACGAAGTCAGAAGTGGTTGCCTAACAGGTCATGACCTTTAACTAGATCGTTACCTGTGCAGTTTTTAAAATAAGATGTCATGATTCATGGGCTTATCTTTAGTAGCCTGTGGAGGTGTAGTTAAATAGTAAAAAACCTGGTCAGCTGCGTAAGGTATGAGTCATACTTTCTTTTTTAAATTTATCAGACCGGAAAACAGACGGCACCACTGAAGGTTGCAAATGGCTATTTTTAGGTATTTGGAGTAGAGATCTAAGTCCATTGCGTTTGAAACAAAAACTAGCTGGTTTCTGCTAAAGTATATTATAATGCAATAGTAAATTAGTTGCCCCATTGGTCCGATCTTTTCAAAAAATTCTTATGTAAGATTTGTGCATGGTTTATACATATGGATGATTAATATTCCAAAACTGAACTATTCTTTTAGTAGTTTTAGCCATACATAGTCTGCACCAATATAAAAAAACTTCATAGATCTAGATCTAGTTATTGTTTGGTTTTAGATTGAGAAGTGGATTTATGTAAAGAGTAAAGGAAAGAAAGACTACTAGATTTCCTATTCTATGTTATGTGGGCCTGATAGCAGACAAAAGGTTAAAGAATAACTTTAGGAACGCCAACTGGTATTTGAAGACCAAGAGAACGTTAAATATCCATTTCACGACTAGATTTACATCTATATTTTAACAAATCATATAATGAGGACCCCGCTACAACAGGTTGCAGAGTTGCAGTCATCCAGCTGTAATTGATGTATTACTTGTCTACTGAACAATATATATAAATGATAATATTCTAATATTCACGCAGGCCTAAACGCCACCATTTTTGCAATTACAAATGTGGATAATATTATTTTGGTATAAAATGTTTGCTCCGGGTTTTGGCAGGTCACGTGACAAAGACGTTGATAAAGTTACACTGCTATTGATTGGATGTGTTAAGAAAAACATAAATTCTTTGCTTTGTCAACAAACACATTTGTTAAATATCTTTTTTTGCATCTTTTATACGGAAAGATACACTAACTTATGCTAGTTTTGTGTGAATTTAACTGTAAAAAACATATTTGAATTTGATATAAAAATAGTAGCCAATGAGATTTCTCGTTTTAAGGAAACCGGAAAAAACCGCGAAAGCGTCCATTGATTATGGCGAGAACCTGTTGTGTACTGTTGTTATTATTATTGTTATGATTTTTTTGGATTATTAACTGTGTTTTCTCAAAATTTGAGTGTGTATTCTAAAATGAATAATTCTGTAATACCGAGTCCTCGTCCAACACCACGATTTTACCCAGAACCACAAACATTTTCAACCAAAAAGGTAAAAATTTCACTTTTTGTAGATCTAGATTTTCTAGTTTTAAATTTTTAAGCATAAAAACTCACAACTGAGTGTCCAGCAAGAAAATTTGTCTGCAATATCCTTAATTTAAAATCTTGATTTAGGTCTATGATTTTTGTACTCTTACAGAGTTGATTAAGAATACTAAATTTCAAGTTTTACTCTTTCTAGATTTAGATGTAGAGTCTAGTCTAGGTCTAAAATCTAAATGAGTGAAATCTGAAACTAGAATCTAGATCTAGTCTAGAGTCTAGAATCTAATCTCTAGATCTAGATATCTAGATCTAGACTTCTATATCTAGAGTAAAGTTCCGCGTGTGGTCAAAACCACGGTGTAGTCACATTCCTGTTTATGGCTTCGTATAATATTTGTTTGGATGTTTTATACGAAACTACCAATATCTGCTGTAAACATGTCCATTTCTAAATATATCCAGGTCAAATTCTTTTGTTTCCCTCCTTCTGAAAGACGAGTTTTTAAATTTTCAAGTTTCGAGGTATGACGTCGTAGGCGATTCTAGTTCCCCCGTATGAAAAGCACTAGGTCCCGGATGAGATGAATAAAACCAACCAATCAAAGCTTTTTATAACTAGGTTAACTATAAATAGCTTCTATTTATGTGCGGGACACTGAAAATACTGTAGTTAAGGCTATTAAAAGAATCTTAGTGGTGAAATGGGGGTGATCACAGCTGGGGTAACGATTTTTGTGTTTTACCCTCGCTGTGGTCACCAATGACTTGAGCTAGACTAGCCTAGATCTAGATGCTCTATATTTCAAGCTAAGTCTAGAACCTATATAATTTCTATTTTTTTCTGTTGTTTTAAATTATTTTAATCATCTACTTCTTCTAAATCTAGTTTGTGTCTCTACATACAATACAATCGAAGCAAATGTTACGTTTTGTCTTGTTAGTGATTGTTACGTCCCTTTGTTATGATTATAATAGTTGCGTCCCTTGAGTCATCACTGGGTCATCCGTAATTTGTAGTTAATAAATTTAATTAACGTGTTATTATTTGGTTTTGCAAATCTATTAGTTAATTATACAATCATCAACACGTTTAAATGAGTAAAATTATTAAAATTGGATCAAAACGTAAAAAATACGCTAGTGATCACAAGCAGGGACAGGTGACCACAGGCAAAAAAAAGGGGGAAAAAGTAGATCACAAGGAGGTTTGTCACTAAAACATGAATATCTCAAATACTATGCGTATGAATACAAAATAACTCATGCATATTAGAGTAGAATGGCAGTGGAGTAATAAAGTACTTTCGGTTTGTTTCTGTGTGAAACGGTTACAAAATAGCGCCCGATGAAAATCTGGAGTTCGGAATTTTTCGCTATGTGTGACCACACGCGGAACTTTACTCTAGATCTAGTCCAAACTCTAACTAGAGAGATCTGGTAGAATCTGTAGATAAATTAGTGGAGGTACATAAAATCGTCTGAGGTAATGTGAAAAAAAGATTACTCATCAAATTTTTGTAATTATTTCACATTTTTAGAAAGATTTTTGTTATAAAAGTTACAGAAATGTTTCAACCCTTCATTAATGTACATGATTTTTAAACAATTGTATTAAAACTTTTCAGTAATAAATATTAAATAAAGATTAGCGATGTTTTCATCAGATGCAACTGCAACCAAGCTCATTTGCTTTTTTTTTAGATTACTTTAGAAGCCATCTATTTAACGTTTTTGGTAACATTTTAACTAGAGATTCAGTGGAAACCACTCTAATCTACAGATGGCTGCTGTTTATATAGCAAACAAGGCTGTTTAAAGTCAATTTCTGGCCTTTATTGGTATATTTAGACATTGCTTTTGGTTTATTATTCAGTTATCTAGGCCTATTATATTTGACACAAAAATATAATATATGCCTACTTGTATTAAAATAATTAAAGCCATATTAATGAGCCACCTTTCTCGCACATTACTAGTCTCGGCCGATTTTACGTACCTAAAGTGATAGATTACTAGATCTAGATAGATCTAGATCTAGTAGAGATTAACATACTAGAAATCTAGCTAGATTTTTACTTTTCTATTCATTTTTCATCTTTTCCTCATGATCTTTTTCATAATTCACCATAATTCATTCAATAGGCTTATAGATCTAACCATCCCCCCCCCCTCCCCCATTGATTCTAGATATGGATCTAGTTACTAGATTTCTAGTTTAAGTTATGGATCTAGATCTTGAATATTTAGATCTTGAATCAATCTAGTCTAGATCTATGATTCTAGATTCAAATATTGTTTACCATGCAAGCCTTTTAATATTTATGATATCTTGACTATTTGACTACATCTACGCTTCTTTATTCTTATAGTATGTATACTATTATTTCAGCTAAAGCCAGCTGGTACACCAAGAGATCACCTTCCTCCAAGACCACCAGTAAAAAGTTGTCCACCTCTTAGTAGAGTTTTTCCTCGGCGCAATATTGCCTCCCTACACGCCCAGCCAGTTTCATTTAGACACACAGAGAAAAGTATCCTTTTGCTTTGCTTATTAAAATTCTAAATAATTTAATTGTATATACTTTAATCTAGCTTTAAACTTTAATGCCCTGGAAAAAAACAAAATGCTTTAATAATCTACACACATAAAAATAAATTTAAAAAAAAATGTTTTGAGTAGTTGGCACAAATCTGCAAGTGTAGGTTAGTTATTTCCCTATATAATTTGATAATCATTTAGGGCTGTTTGTTATAAATGTAACAAGTAGAAGCTTTTGTGTTTGTCATATCTAGATATGTGCCAGGCACCTGTACACATTTGTCAATTACAATGAGTGTTGCTAGCTTTTAAAACTTTTTTTTGTTCAGTATAATAATGGAGTCAAACTTAATTAATGATTTCTAAATTTGCCAAAATTTAAATTATCTCCATGATGGTATATTTCTATCATTCTAGTCTAGTTCTGGTTCCCTCCATACAGGGTCAGGCTAAAAAACTTGATTATCACCTTGAACTTATCTGACAAACTTTTCTCAAATCACCCATTTAATTCTCAGCACTTAATCTTACTTACCCCACTTGCACCATACTAGTAATCTCAGACCAATATCAAACCACCTACTTCCACTTCTTACTCTAGTTTGTATATCTCGGCAACTCCCAGCCAGTACCAGTCTTGTGTTCATAACCAATCACCTGCATGGTTACCATTTATTTGTGACTGCTCTAATTAAATGTAGATACTAAAACATGAATTTTTGCCTTAACTTTTAATCAGCTTTATTAAGCCCTAGGTACAATGAGAACTCCAATGATCTCTATTTTGAGCAGATGTTTGATGAGTCGACGCCTATAGGATATGGTTCATTTGGTGAAGTGAGTTGTTTGTTAATACAATTTTTTTCCTATGCTTCTACTGTTTTCATGTTAAAGATGTTTTTCAAATGTCAGTGCTACTGTTTTCTTGTTCTAATTGAAATTTTTTTTTTCTAGGTCTTCAAATGTAAGAGCAAAGAAGATGGTAAATATTACGCTGTAAAGAAATCCAGGGAACCCTTTAAAGGGCAATATGATAGGTAACTGTTTTGTTAAATACTGTTCATTTTCTCCTGTTTATTTTGGTATCTTATAGGGTAGTATGTTTTATAATGTGGACATATATTTTTTAGGAAAAGAAAAATGGAAGAAGTTGCCAAACATGAGTCTCTACTACCACACCCTAATTGTATAAGATTTTATAAGGCTTGGGAAGAAAGAGGACACCTTTATATACAAACAGAACTATGTAAAATGAGGTGGGTTTATTTTTTTTTTATTAAATAAGCTCAGTAATTATAGCTGTAGAAATGTAATTTGATGGTTTCTATTTAGCATAGCTCTTGAAATAAGAAAATAAATGTTTCAGTGTAAGTGAATTTTGTGGCATGAATCAGCACATAAGTGAAGCACTGATATGGAACTACATGGTGGACCTGTTAATGGTGAGTACTCCTATATTGTCTGTTATTGATTGTATTGTTTACTTGTTTGAGTATACTCAAACATTAAAAAAAATGTGTGTATATTATTAAAGCATGTTTTATTTTTCTCCCCAGGCATTGAAACATTTGCATGACTACAACCTGGTGCATATGGATATTAAACCAGAGAATGCCTTTATATCATTTGATGGCATATGTAAACTAGGAGACTTTGGTTTAGTGATAGATCTGACAAAAGTAAGACATGCTCATTTTCTCATACATAGAATAATTCTGTGCAATATTGTTTGATTTGGTTGAAAGGTTTCCAGATTATTAAATATTTTAATGCAGTTATCTTATTCAATTGATTTCTTTCCCCCCAATTATGCAGCTAGTGACCAGCTTAGAGTAAAGCATTTTCAAACTTTTAACTAGACTTATAGTCATATGACCATTGTACTAAATAAACGATCACAAATTTACTTTAAAATTTGTGAAGGTTTATTTTTTAAACTTAGAGGTAAGCTGTTTAACTGTTTTTAGTAACGATATGAAACACTTTTACAGCAAACAGACGTATCTGATGCTATAGAAGGGGACCCCAAGTACTTAGCACCAGAATTATTGGAGGGAAAGTTTGGCAAACATGCAGATATTTTCTCCCTAGGAATGTTTATTCTAGAAATGTTAACAGATCTGGACCTTCCAAGGGGTGGTGATGGTTGGCACAGCCTGCGAACTCAGCAGTTGCCTGCAGAGTTTCTGAAAGGTCAGCACTGTTTTTGTACATTTATAGTGGATTTAGTAATATTTTTAGGATATCTATGACTAACCTTGTCAGCGTGCAGCCAAAATATTAGATAGTGTTTAAAATTTATTTATTTTTATCCTTTACCAGATAGGAGTGAAGAAATGAACTCTGTTATAAAAGAAATGTTAAACCCTGATTACAAAAGTCGTCCAACTGTTGATGAGATACTGGCTATCCCAGCTGTTCGAACTGTAAGTTGCATGTCACTTGCATTAGAAATCTTTTTAAAATCCTATATATATGATCTATATAATTATACCCAACCCCAGCTTGTCTTCGCTTCCTAGAAAATCTGGAATTATATATAGTAATTCATTACTCAACAAATTGCTAGTAAATTTTGAGAACACTAAAACATTATTTGTGGTAATAATAAGTAGTTAGAGCATTTTGTATCATTATTATACTGCAATTAATCATTTGTCAGTGGTTGATATGTAAATGATTATATTTAAAAAATTATATTTACCAGTATTAAACTACATTCATTTACTGTAAATATTTTATAATTGATAACACATTACATTTTTTTATAGGTGTTCAAAGCTCGAGTAAAAAGTTACACATTTCCTAGTATGGTGAGTGCTTGTTCAGTTTTTGTATTATTTTCTATTTAAACTGCTGTCCTACATCTGTTTAGTCATATTACACTTACAAATAGAGCTGTGCTTCTGGTAGTATCTAATATTTGTATTAAATTTTGATTCCGCTAACAATTGTGTATTTATTGCTGTGCAGAAGATGACAAGGTCACAAAGACAAATTCAACTTTCTAGCACTCCCACCAGCATAGACTCTCCCATTTTTAATGGAATCATTAGAAAGGATTTGGATTCAACATTTTCTGATGGTAAATTTTTAAAAATTAAAGATTAAACTCAATTGCGTAAAATTTGTGTACTTTTACATGCAATAAATTTAATTTGCTTTTTGTCATCCTTTTGATCAGATGAATTAATGGAAGATCATGGACCTCGTAACACTTCAGATTTACTCAACTCATCTGATGAATTCCTGATGCCTAGGTCAGTTGATTGTTTTCTTAATTGAAAATGTATTTTCTGAAGAAATGTAATACTATATAGCGTGCTAGCTTTATTTATCTTTTATTGCCAGCAAAACATCATTAATCTAAACTACTCTTATATAGAATGCAGGGGTTAGGGTTTTAAATATTTACCTAGCGCATTTGCCTTTTTCATTTAGGATATTAGGCAGACTTCTAAAGTTTATCTCATTTCATCCTCAAATACACACAGTCTTTGTAGTTGTGTTAGTTACAGTAAGGCATTTGGGAATCAAACCAATGTAGTCAGTAGACCAAATATCAGGGATGATCTAATGTTTGATCTAAATATTTGGAGGACAAGCTTAGTCTCTTTCGTTCAATGACATTTGACAAGCTGACATTTGACAAGCTCAATATATAGGCATTTATACAAATGACAGTATTTGATAACATTTTATCTGACTGAAACCGTTCTTAAGTTAAAAGCTTTAGAAAAACAAAAAGTAGAATAAGTTCCGGTTACCGGAAAGGGCTGAAAAGCTACTACAGAATTACAAATTTGATATAATACTTATTTATGAAATGTCATCAACCTAGCTATAATGTTACTCAAGTTATCGTGTTCACAGGCAAAACTAAGTTTTTCCAACTCTGGGCGGTGTAAAATGTTGAGAATTGTGAAAACCTTGATTTCGATGTTTTTGCATGAATACACTACTTCCTCTAAACTCTGTATACAAGAAAATAAAAAAAAGGAAATCTTTTCCACTGATTATTTCCTGATATCTTTCACCACTAAAATTCATTTATATAGTGTATGAAAGTGAAGTAAAATTACCTTTCAAACCTAACGGTCTACGAGGCAAGTGAAGTAGAGTTCACTTGTGTTTCTGTGACCTCTGCATATGAAGGAATAGTGTCAGCCGCCTTTAGTTACCCTAACATGAGTTAGGTACCCATCAGAGCTGGGTAAACTCAGGGACAGTTTACTGACTTGAACCCGGATTCAAACTCAAGACTTACAGGTTAGCAGTCCAGCTCTCTACAGCTACGCCACCTGGTCTTTATATACTGTATGTAAAAAAAAAAAGTAAAGTATCCCTTTCAAACCTGACGGTCTATGGGGCAAGTGAAGTAGAGTTCACTTGTTTCTGTGACCTCGGCATATGAAGAGATAGTGTGGTCAGCACTATGCCCAGCCGCCTTTACTTTCCCTAACGTTAGTTAGGTACCCATCAGAGTTGGGTGGACTCAGGGACGGTCTACTGATAAGAACCCGGATTCGAACTCTAGACTAACGGGTTAGCAGTCCAGCTCTCTACCGCTAGACCACTCCGTCCACTGTATGTAGTGGCTGAGAAATTTACTTACACCCCACTTATATCTCCATAACTCAACTCACCTCTAACATGCTGCCCATGTATGATGTGCTTTTGCGACTACTGCTGACTACACAGTCAGTTGTTTAGACCCTAATTCTACAGTCGCTGTTATTGAAATATCCTATTTAAAAAATTATGCCTTTATTTTGAGCTGATTTCACTAAAAGCAGACGAAACACTTTTCTCTTAAGATTAATGAGCATCATATATTTTTTACAACCTTTTTTCCCCACCACAGTAATCCTCCACCTAGACGTGCTTATACCACACCAGCAGTTCGTAGAAGACCAGCTTCATCAAATTTGAATGGCTCACCCATAAAAAGGTAAATACTTATAGCTATTCAGTTTTTGCTAATTCCTCAATCTACCCACCTGAGTTCCTGTTTGTTAAAAGACTTCTTTTTCTTTTCAGACTTTTATTTACAGACAGCATTCCTACTACCCCCAGCTTAAGCCATGGATCCCCTGTTAGCAGTGAACACCATAGCACCCCACATGACCAAGATGACCGGTCAGGCACCCCTCCTTCTATTTCATCTATTGCAAAAATGGACTGGGACGAACCAAAGCCTGGTATTGAACCAAAGAATCTATTAAACATGTTTCAGGATGCCAGTGATGAAGAAAATTAATTGCACCACTACTTAAAATAAAGGATGGATATTGTAAGGAATTTTTTTTTCTAAATTAAGTGCTTTTGTTTAATGTAGTTCAGATCCAGATTTGATTTTTTTTTTAATACGGTAAACTGTGAATGAGAATATTAGCTGAGCAAACAAATTAAAACTTTATTGGTTTGGGTTTTTTAAGCATTTGATCCTTGTGTTTCAATGTTTTTTATTTACTACTTCCTGATTGTAAAATGTGCCAGTAGCAGCGTGTGTACATTTTCTTTTCTGCTTTTGTCTTTCAGAATTACTAGAGAAAAAAAGAGCAAACTTTTATGTACTTAATTTTTAATGTCATGAATGTGTAATTTCAGTTTACGGTTGTGGGATTAGCACTTATCAGACCAATAGAATTTCAATGTTTTTTTTTGTTTTGTTAAGTATAGGGTAGGTAGGAGAATGGACCTGTGTTTATCTGTTCATTCCTGTGGTTTTTTTTTTAAGCTATAATTTTAGAAGTGTTGACAGACAAAGAGGATTACTAGAACTGGTGTGCATTTTAAAAACACTTGTCTTGGAGGCTGTGAATATAATCCTGGTATTTTTGATTGTGTGGTGGCTGTCGTCTTGTGTGTCAGTGCTTGTCAGCCTTGATATTTGTGTGACCAGCTTAGGCTTATCAGCAGCAATAGCTTAAGTTACAGGTGAAGTGGGTTTCTTTGTTTCTCTTTCTAGAATATTTGAAGAGCAAGCAAGTCAAAACAATTATGTAGTTTGTACATAAGCTAATGGGAACAAATTCAGTTTAATAAGTGCCTTATACATTTTATTTACAATTTTTGTGAATGTCATCACATTTGCTTCAAACCACTCAATTTTTTTTTGTTAATATTTTTAATCCTTTAGTTAAAACATTGTTAATGTTAAAGATAGCTAAACCACAACAGCATTTAAGACAAACAAACAACAGTTTATTAAATTGTTAACCCGTGTGTTCAGATGATTTTATAATTTAAACCCAGTCATTGCATTGTGTTGAAACCAGAATGTGTTCTCTAGATTGTGGGCCGTAGGATCTGGTTAGAAATATCCCACTGGAAATACTGGTGGCTTTTCTCCCAGATTTCTCTCACATGTTTTTGTTGATACCCAACTGTGTTCTTTGATTGAATTATTGGATTATAATTGGTAGCTTGCAGTTTATAATACAAACATAATTTTTATTACTCTTATTTATCTGTATACCATTCTATATAATTGATGGGTATTTCTCTGTAACTAATGCTACTGTTACTATGTCTTTTTTAAAATGTTCGTTTCAGTCTGTCTTGTGAGTTGTGTTTGAAGAACTATTTTTTTGGTTTATTTGTATGAAGTAAGAAATCTGACTTTCATATAATAAATACTTATATGTTGGTAAAAATTTGTGACATGAAAGTTGGATTCATGTATAGCGGCTGCTCACATTTGAGTTGTGATGTGGCATTCATTTGAACACATCCAAATCAAATCATTTGATTTTGTCATCTTTTTCAAGAGGTGTTAGGAATCAAAATAATGTTAACAAAAATGAACAAATTTTTTTAACCTGGGCATATATGACAATAGATCAAAAAAGTGGATGGTCGCCTAGTATTGTATAATTTAAAATATCTTGTCGCTCCTAATTGTATATATATATTTTAACGCTTTGAAATTTACACATTAATTTGCATAATGGGGTTCTATTGAATATTGAAGAAGTAAACAATTTTTGTAGTGGTTACCTAAATGATCACTTACCTGTTAGTGTTCTATGCATGTTTACACTGCTCAATCAAAATTATTGCTGTCACGTTGTGCCTTACACTAAACATTGTGAGAAGTGTGGTCGTAGCTGCTATCTGATTGTGTTGCAGAACTTCACTATTATTATTGCTGTTACACTTTAGTAGCAAGTGCCGGTCATTTGAGTTACACACTTTGTGTTCTGTTTTAAATCTCGCAATCATTGAGATACTAGTACACCTAACCTACCATTTTAATCTTAGTTACATCCCATTGTTCTGTTTTAATTTACTCTCAAGATTTGATCTGATATAATAACCATGTGAAAGATGTACATTTTAGGATTGTAATTATTTCCCACCAATGTAAAATTTTCAAAAATAAAGTTATTCAATGTTCTACCTTTTGTTTTTAGCTTGTTCACTTTCATGTTTGTCAATCATTTGTGCAAAAATGAATATATACCAGCCTTCTGATGTACTTTGTTGCAGTATTCAAAGAAGTAATGAGGTGAACATTGGACTTAGTCCCCTTGAAACCTGCAGGTTTACCACTTTGTTCTTCCAGCATGTGGGGTTTTATTATCATGCTGTGTGTCACATGTAGGCACATGCATAGATGACCCTACATCACTTCATAAGTTTCTTCACACATTTTTTCAGAGCTGGGACAAAAATATACCAGATTTAAAAATTCTCAAACTGTACACAAACCCATTTAAAGAGGTCAGATATTGCCAATAATGATAATTTTTAAAAATTGAGTCTTTATAGAAACTACTATTGGCATTAACGTTACAAAAAAGAAACAACTGAGGATCACAGTCAGTAGGTTGAATGTTTTGTTTCTAGCAGAGAAGCAACAAAAATTCTAAAGATGTATTTTATGAAACCTATTTCACGATGCAATATCAATTTCGTAAAAAAATTCATATTTTCCCTTCACCTCAACAAATGCTAATGGGAAAGTAGCATTTTTACTGTGGGAATAGCTTTAGTCACATTTTGAAGAAACAATTTCACCTCTCTAATGTTTGTGATTTAGTGTTGAAAAATAATTGCAAGCAGCAACAATTTATCAAGTTTTTATTTGTTTTAACACCAGACACTACCAGCAGAAACATAAAAACCTTCATAGTTCTCATAGTAAACTTAAGGTTAATGTTCCTAAGATTTAAAGAAGTTTTTTTTTTCTAGTTGCTTTGGGTTCACGCTGGTTTCATTTAATTCAAGGCAAATAAGATGTTCAATCTTGGGTGTAATAAGTTTACAGATTTCATACTAGTAACAGCTTCAGCATTTTGATATGCCTACACTTCTATATAAAATCTACATTTAAAACCTCTATTATGATTATTTAATCATAGTTAAAAAGTAACTAATTGTCCAAACATTGATAATTTTATACACCTTTTCAACTAATGTAACAATATATCATTAGCACTGATGATAACAAACACTTCAGTTCAACTTTTTATATTGAAAACAAATTAGAAATGAAACATAATAACACCTGGGATATTTAAAAAAAACGTGTTGCTAGATAACAATAAAATAAACAATGGCTAGTTTAATAATCATTCACAAAAGATTCAAAGGTGAAATCACATCTGAACAGTTTACAGAAGCTAGTACAAATAGTTTTTATTCTACATTTTCACAGAAATTGTATATTCTATCTTAATGATCTAGTTTCACATTTCATGTCATACATTCAATGATGAAGGTTTATGGAGCCTGAACATTTTTTTCAAACAAGTTTTTATAATAGAGGGATCTACACTAAGTCTGTACATAAACATATTTTAAATGATTATTTTTGGTGAAACTGGTTCAAAGTTACAACAAAAAGAATTACTGGCTAACACCATGCTTGTTTCAAATTGATTTTGTACGTACCTAAATACTCAGCCAGTAAAACAGGATTTCTATTTTATTATTTCTAGTTAGTAACAAAGGAAAAAAAAACATTTTTATGAAATTTTTTATCTTTCACATAAAAAAAGGCTAAAACCATTTTGTGAGATATAAAAATCAACTTTTAAAATTCCCCATTTACACGTCATCAGGCAGCCATTTACTCAACAATCACACAACGAGCATTTACTGACAAGGAAATTATTTTTTCACTTTAGTTGACGGCCTTTCAAATTGCTGCTTCATGCCGCCCCCTCTAGCAGTGTGAAATTTGAGATTTTGAGCTGTGTCTTGCATCCATGGTGCTTCATGTTGTGTTGTGTCTTGGTCAAGCAGATGTGTATATTTTGTTCGACCAGATCTGCCAAAGTTTTTAACCTGAAAAAAGAAAAAATTCTATGTAAATTCTAGGAAATAATTAATATATTTTAATAACAAAATATTTAATCATTTAAATTTTTTAAATGAGAGCAGCTAATGCCTGTTTACAAATCTAAACTTGCTTAAGAGATTTGAAGTGATTAAAAAAAGGATTTATTCAGATAAAAAAAGCTTCAAAACTTAGCCTTACCTGCATGACTTTGGGTAAAATTGTTTTATCAAAGTGATCCTCCAGTGTAGGCTGTGAGAAATCTTGTTTGAACACTGTGTCTTCATTGTCCTACAGAAGATCAGATTCTCAACATCAAGGCAAGCATACAAATTTTGAATTACATTTTTCCCACCCCCATTTTTTTTCACTTTTTAAGACAACAAAACCACTATTACATTAAAGGAACAGACATGGATAGAAAAAACAAGAGTAAAATAATTTTTCAACACAGTAAATGGTCCATTAAAAATGTTTGTATTACCAAGAAGAAAGCACCACGATGATAATATTTCTGTAAAAATTTGTATTTCCCTTTTGGAGCTTTATTTGTGACTTGTTTCGGATTCTGCCGCAACTCTTGTCTTCTTTCTTCTTCTGTCATGTTTCTTAACCTTTCAACCTCCATTTTTTCTTTATCAATTCTGAAACAAAACCAACATATTCTAGTACTTGGATACAGGATAATAAGGAAATCTTGAAGTACCAACAGCTAAACATTTATGTAGTAGCAATTAAATATGAGTGAATCAGAATTATGAATTCTGACAAAAATTTAGTAATGGAAATGTTAAAAAAAATGTTCAATATGATCACAGAACCAAATGTTTAACACAAGTCTTGTAAAAATATTTAATTTGATGGCAATTAATCTTTGTAAAAAAATAAAACATCTAAAATTGCAAAACATTATTGATTATCAACTTACGCTTCTCTCTCTTCTCTATCTCGTTTAATACGTTTCAATTCTCTGACTTTCCAAAGCTCGTACTCTTCTTCATCATTTTCATCATCAGAGTCTATACCATCACAAGCCTGTTGTAGACTTTTTTCTTCATCCATTTCTCTCTTCATGTCTTGATTTGCCATCTGGCATTTCAAACAAAAGATGGCATTTTTATCAAATAATGGCATTGTAAAGTAATAATGTAAATTTAAACTATTCGATTTTTAAATAAGTATGGGGTTTTAAAAACAAGATCAACACAAATCTAAATGTTACTAACTCTTTAAAAGCTACAAATGACTAACTAAACCTCTACAGACAATAGCAATAAAAGCACCTTAATTGTCTGCCTCTTTCTCTCTTCAGCCAATCTTTTGGCCTCAGCTTCAAGTTCCTTAGCCCGGACCTCTTCCCTCTCTCTCTCTTGTACAGTGATTCTGTCTTTTCTTTAAATAAAAAAATGTATTAGCTACATCATGTTGATTCTAACTAACTTTGGTACTTTTAAATGCCATGTTAAAATGGTTAATACTAGCTCATCATTTTTTAGATTCAAATGAAATTTGTAAATGCAAACTAGTCATCTTACAGAAAACAACTTGATAGAAAAAAAAACTGATTCCAATTGCATTAACTTAAAGGGAAGTGTAAAGGTGTAAAAAGCAACAACTCACTTTCTAACAAAGACTGGCTTTAACCTGGGACCTGCCTCTTCCTCAGAATCTGTGTATTCCTCATACTCTGAGGATTCCTCTTCTGATTCATCTTCTTCATCTTTTTTCTCGTCTTCAACATCCATAACCTCCTACATAACAATGTTTTAAAAAATCTATTATTTATATTTAAAAAAAAATCTCACAAGAATTATATTCTAAATAGTTCATGCAATAGAAAAGTATAAACATTAGATAATTAGACTTAAAGAACAGCTTTTACAGCAGTTAACAAGAAAGAAAGCTTCAATTAAAATATACATTTTGTCAACTTACCTCTTCATCTCGTTGTTGTATGACTTTTAATCTTCTTAATGCTCTGCGTTTTTCTATTTCCTAATCAAAAAATAAAAAAACAAAATGAGTTTAAAAAAATCTACCAACATAACTAAAAGAAACGCAACCTGAAAGTTGTGACGCAGAAATGTGCTCAAACCTCCTCATCCAGCTCCTCTTCCTCTTCATCATCCTCCTCACCCTCACTGCTGTCATCTGCTCGCCTCCTCCTGACTGGTCTACCCTCATCATCTGAGCCCTCAGCAATGACCTCGGGTTCAACGACTTCACGTCTGTGTCTTGTAACCCTGAAGGTTGACAACAACCATGTGATATATAACACAACCATGTGATATATAACACAACAACCATGTGATATATAACACAACAACCATGTGATATATAACATAAGACAACCATGTGATATATAACACAAGACAACAACCATTTGATATATAACACAAGACAACAACCATGTGATATATAACACAAGACAACAACCATGTGATAACACAAGACTACAGCAATGAAAGACACACGCATACATTGCTTTATATATATATATATATATATATATATATATATAGATATACATAAATATAAGTTAATATGCAAGTGCCCCGTATATTGCAAGAATTTACCTGTCCTCATCATCTTCTTCATCATCATCCTCGTCACTCTGATGCCTCTGTTGCAGTCGCCGGAGCCTACGGTCATGAACTTCTTGACTCTCCTTCTCCACTTCCTCCTCATCTTTTTTCTCCTCCACCTGCGGCCGAACTCGTGACTGAAAGCCTGTGGTTACTTCAATTTCTTCTTCGTCATCACTTTCTGGGGCAAACTCTGGTCTCTGACCCCTCATGTACCTGGTAACTTTTACCTTTTCCATTGTCAGCTCACCTGAGGAGATTTAGAGCATATAGTGGATTGTGCAACAAAACCTGAGGAGATTTAGAGCATATAGTGGACTGTGCAACAAAACAATCTACTACTTTAGTTTGAATCAATCACAGAACAATCATTTGTGGCTCACTATGATCAATCAGATAGACATTCTATGGTCAATAGTTGGTCAGATCAATCAGATAGACATTCTACAGTCAATAATTGGTCAGATCAAATAGACATTCTATAGTCAATAGTTGGTCAGATCAATCAGATAGACATTCTATAGTCAATAGTTGGTCAGATCAATCAGATAAACATTCTATAGTCAATAGTTGGTCAGATCAATCAGTTGTGGCTTTCTATGGTCTGTAGATCATAATTAATTATTATAGGATGTGGTATTCTATTGTCAATATTTCATAGGTCAATCAAAAGTTGCTTTCTATGGTCTGTAGATCAGAATTACTTATTATAGGAAGTGGTATTCTATTGTCAATATTTCATAGGTAAATCAGAAGTGGCTTTCTATAGTCTAAGCCATTAAAAATAAACATAGCCTATATTACTTAATTAAGCACAATTTAGTAATTACCTTTTTCATTTCGCACAGGTATGGCACCTGCAGTAGACATGATAGGGACTTTAGCCTTAGACATTTTCACTGGTGCTGTTTATCTTGGACCAAACTGAAATATTCAAGTATCTGTTAGGAGTATATTAAATCTCAGTATAGAAAGTGCTAAGACAACACTTTTAGCTTTTGTAGATTAAGTTCTATTGATCTAGCCTAAATATTGTGGTAGCATTTGTCAAGTGTAGTGGTAATTACTGTTCTTTTTTTAGAACTACAGAAATAAAAATGTGTGAAGGCCTATAATTAGTAAGGGGTACTTCTATATTCAGCGTTAAAACTTCAACAGGTGCAACCGCCGGCGCCCGGTAGAATGCACGACCCGAAGTGCCCCGGGTTCTTCTGCGAGCACTATGGCGTGTAATCGGGGGTCCCGAGAGTGCCCCTCTACGTCCCTGGCACATGGGCGGTCACCCAAGTGTGTTCTACTTCATTATTTTGGTGAGTGATTAACTTACACTCAAGGTTTTCATGCGGTATTGTAGGTAAACCTGTGTCCCAATATTTATGATCCAAGCGCAGGCATTGTTTACATTTAAATAACACAATTGTAGAAAACAAGGTCACGCGTCTAAGAACATAGGATTGGTAACACATTCATGAAACCCTTCTTTTATATTTCGTCAGACTTTCTTCTATCCCCACAACAACGTGCGGGGACGGGTACGCTGAGTATATATATATATATATATATATATATATATATATATATATATATATATATATATATATATATATATATATATATATATATACATACATAGGTCTACTGGTATTAAATTAATTAGTCCTATTAAAATAATTAAAGCCATATTAATAATTAGTCACTTTTTTTTCACTTTACACTATGTGATTACTCTAGCTTCAGCCGATGTTTACTTTCTTTTTTGGATGTGGCTTTTATGACCTGGGTCCTAATAGCCCTGACCGCTTTAGGACCCAGGTTCCTCTAGCCATAGCTGCCATTCAGACCAGGCATTAAGCTTGTGCTGTAGTTACACATCAGTATAACTGTTTTAAAATTCTTACTTTATGTTTATTTGATTTTTCTTGTGATTTTGCTAGTATTTTATGTGTTTATAGTGTGTGTGTGTGTATGTTAGTTCTGAGGATGTGCTTGGACTAATGATTTTTAAATATCCTAAATATAGCCTTTTATACAAAATCATAAAACTAATTAACGTAAGACATTGTGGTAGAGTGGAGAAAGTCATGCCTCTCAAATCTTGGAGGCTACAGATTCGGAACCTAACTGAACTGGAATTCCCATTCGGGTGTTCCAGAAAAATCATAACTCAATTTTGTGCGAGAAGAAAGTATTCAACTTAACTAGTAGATTTAGATATTTCAACAGAGCTGCATGAGTCATTCTACTATAGTCCACTACACATGCATGTGAGATATTAGTGTTCAAGAAACCGGCCCTGGAGTTGTAACCTATATTCAGCTATTTTATACAATTTATGTTTAAATTAAATTAAATAAGAAAAGAAAAAAAAAAGCAGATCTACCTATATGCATACATTTTTACATGTGCACTCATCATTCATATACAGTCAGATAAGTTCATACCATAGATCATTTAAAACAGAACTAATGACTCCCATTTGCCATGACCTTTGTCAGAAATCATGAAATGTTCTCGTGTGTAGGCCTAGTTTATTTAAAGCAAGATCTCTAGATACTAGAAATCGAGTGTAATTACAAGAAAAAAATCACCCAAAGAAAAAAATCACAACAGAAAAGAATATGGTAATCTATCGTTTTAGGTACGTTAATTCATCCAAGACTAGAAATGTGAAAAATAGGTGACCTTAAATTTTAATAATTATTTCAAAATTTTAGGAGGATTTATGTTTTGAAATTTACAAAAATGTTTCAAAGTTTCATTTATGTACCTGTTTTAAACAATTGTATTAAAACTTTTCAGTAATATATGAAGACTAGCGATGTTTTCATCAGATGCAACCTATCTCATTTACTTTAGCAGCCATCTTAAGTTTCTTGTTTTGGTAAAATTATAGTGGAAGATTCAGGGGAAGCCACTCTATTTTACATATGGCTGCTTTATATATTTATATAGGGGTCGTCCATAAATGACGACACACTTGTAGAGGGGAGGTCGGTAATTTTGTGACGGCCGTGTGATTGGGGGGGGGGGGGGGTTATGATGGTGTGACGTCCCTTTTTAGCATTATAAAAAAAGCAATGTTAGAAAACAAGTTTGAGCCATTATTTTGCGTTTTAGTTGCCAGAGGGTTTGAACTCGAGACTTTTTTTTCGAATTTATCAACCATGAGCTTTGCCGACTCGATCATGCTTCCATCACAATTAAGGATTACATATCAACTGGTTATGCGCCATTAAGGCCATTGACTCCGATTTCAGCCTGCTTTTCTTTTTGGATTTGCTTCCATAGCCTTTGTCCAACCAAGAACAAACTACAAGGCAGCAGTTGTTTGATTTTGGAGTTTTCTCTCCTAGAAGAGTTGCTGTCCCGAGCTAACGAGCCTCATCTGCCCAAGAACTTTTCAGTAATAAATGAAGACTAGCGATGTTTCCAACAGATGCAATCATGCTCATTTATTGTAGCAGACATCTTGTTTATTTATTTTTTATTGTAAACTTAGAGCGCAAGATTCAGAGGGGAAGCCATTCTAACTTACAGCTGGCCGCTTTTTATATAACAAATCCTGCTCGCAAACACTGCTGTTTAAAGTTAATTTCTTGCCTATATTGATATATTTAGCCATTGATTTAGGTTTATTATTCATTTATCTATAATATTTGACACAAACATAAATTTAACATATCACAATACACTTCTTTTAAAGCCTTGACAATGAGTTAACGTTTTCGTACATTAATAGAGCGACACTTTTACATACCCAAAACGATAGATTACCAAGGCTCGATCCCTTCCAACACTAAAAATTAAGAATGAAGAAGAAGAAGAAGTAGATCTAGGCCGCTAGGGCCTAGCTAGGGAGGTTCTAGATCTAGATGGCATGCAGCTTATTATTTAAATAAAAAATAAACTAAAATAAAAATAAAAATTTAAAAATTAGTAGATCTAGAATCTAGACTAGTATGTAGCATTAGAACAAAGGGAGATAATTTTCATACAAAAACCTGCCCAGAGCTCTTGACTGATTTTTCAAATTTTGTTTTTACCACTGTCTCTTATTAATTTTAAATTAATATCATATTAATTTCCAATACACAAAGCAACTACATTTTCTAAATCTACTGAGGTTCAGCTATAGCCTAATGCAATTACTTTTCATTTTCTTTCATTTTTGCCTATAAAAAAATTGATTTGAAAACAATATATGCTCTAAATCAACTTTATTTTAATATATAAACACTTGCCTGCACACAAAACTATGCAAAATCAGTTAAATAAACCATGTGTGGTTCTTATTTTATAAAGAAATTGTGATAGAATTTTACAAATACATTTTTTATGAATTTTTTAAGATTTGGACCTTAATCAGCCATGTTGTTTTTTCCTATATAATTAGTCATAGTAAAAATGTACATTTTTAAAAATAAAGCATAACATCAAACAGAAACAAGCCTGCACAATTATTAATGCAAATTTACATAAAGGAAACACCCCTGATTCATAATTTATCATTAGAATTCAAAAATTTTTTGCAAACATATTTTAAAAAATTTTCATTTTTGTTTCCCACTAGTTTCATTTTTTACAGAGATTATATAAGACCATACATTTTAAACAGAAAAAAAATTATTTCTCCTCTCCTGTTGAAGCTAGAAATATAAATTTGGTACCAATGGAATTCTTAATCCTTCCTCTAACTAACTCATATGATTTTAAGATTAAATACTCAAAAATTAATTTTGAATGCTACAACCTAATCTAGACTCTTAGTTAGACGTATTCTAGAGCCTAGGCCTAAAAAATTACCTAATTTTATTAGGGGTACCTTACGGTTTACAGCACTTTAATCCTTCTTGGTAATTCAGAAATATTAAATTTAAAATCTTATTTTTTCAATCACAAATATCAAATATATTTACAACATTGTTTAAGTTTAATTCACTCTGGTGCATGTAAATACCGAAAACCTTTGGAAAAAAAAACATCAATCAAAGTATTGAAATGGACTAAAACAACATTAAAAACCCAACAAAATTATATAACGTATTAATTTAAATCTATACGTGACTAGATCTAGATTCTCTAGATCTAAAATCTAGATCGTGATCTAGATATTTGTATATTTCCACACTAAACCTAAGTGGTTGTTTATAAAAAACGCCACATGCCCAGTGGGCCGCCAATAAACGACGTCAAATGCAGAGGCGTAGCGAGGGGGGCGGGGGGATATGTCCCCGGGCGCCGAACATTAAGGGGCGCCAAAATGGGTTGGAAAAATAAATTGAAAGCTTGAGGGGGGTGCAAATCGAAAGTTTGAGGGGGGGGGCGCAAATCGAAAGTTTGTCCCCGGGCGCCGGGAAGGGTCGCTACGCCTCTGATCAAATGCCACGGTGATATTTAAAAAAAAAACAACATAAAGAACAGCCTTTTAAAAACGCGAAATTTTAAAAATGCACAAGAGAGAAGTCACAATTTCTCCCACCCCCCACTCCCCTGGGGTATTCCATAAATGAAGTCCGTCACAATCCCCCCCCCCCCCCCCCCCATTGATATCTATTAAAACCGTTTAGTGAAATAACGGCTAAAATGTAGCTTCTAGCATTACTTTTGTAAAATGCAATGTAACATTACACTACCTGAAACCCTCTCCACCTCTTCAAAAAATTTCGGACCCACTCCCACCTATGAGTGTGACGTCATTTATGGATGACCCCTAATCGATTTCATCAATCAAATTATATAAAAAGCATTGTATGTGTGTGTATGTATGTGTGTATGTGTGTTTGTCTCTTTGTCTTTTATACATTACTACACCTTTCATCCAATCGACATGAAATTGGTTAGTTGCTGAAAATACCCCTGTGGAGGTGTCTGCGAATTTTTTTTTTTCAAATTCGCAGAGGTGGCGCCTCGACAGGGCGCAATTTGATTTTTCTCTATATACGGTATATAAAAAAATAAAAGTCGGGTGCGGTTCGACGCCGTTCCTCCGAGTGCCATAAAACTTTGGGGACTTGATGATAATACTTTCAAGAAGGTTTGGCGCCGAAACTTCCAGAACGTCTATCATAGCACTTGGTATCCGGTAATCGACTATATTCAGCGTTAAAACCTCAACATGCACATACGCCGGCGCCTCGAACTCCTATGTGAGCACTATGACGCCTACGTTCGTTTAAAAAAATTATACACTAAAGACACGATGGGCAACAATAATCATTTACTATATCGAATTAGCGCGTCCCCCGACGTCTCGGCAGGGTGCAATTTGGCGCCCCGGGCTATCCCATAAGCGCCATAGCGCCTACGTTCGTATTGAACAGTGCGATAGATTATGAATAAGATGGGGTTTTAGATTCGTTCACTAAACATAATCAGGAGCTTCCGCCGTCTCACAGTTTCACAACTGGCACGCTAGTAATAATAATAAAGTTTTAGTTATTGAGTTTATTTCTTTTTTTTAACCGTACCAAAAGACTCAAACTTGATAAAAAAATACTATTTTTTCTCAAGTAAAACTATATCTAGAATCTAGATATATCGTATTTATTTCAGGTTTTGACTTGACTGTTACCAAAAAACACGGCTTCCCTAAATATCATTGCTGCTTACTGCTTTGATACATTGCAACAAAATGTAAATAAATTAAATCTAACACATGGTCATGATGGTGCTCATATTCGTCACGCTTTTCTGGCAACAGTATCAATAGACTCCCTGGCATTTATCTCATTTCACATGAATACGAAACAGAAAATAACTTTTCTGTACGCCAAACTACTAGATTCTATCTAATGTAACATAATTTCAAACTATTAGATAGATCTAATAAAAATCTATTATTTTAAATAGTTTTGTATGGAGTCTTAACGAGTCTTAATTTTGTTTCAGTTCATTTATTAGTTATACTGTAGCTTAGTTATCTACATTGACGTTGTATAATAAATTATTAACTAGATCTAGATCTAGATTCTTGTTGTGAACCACTGATCTGGCATAAACAGTGTTTCTTAGAAAGAGATCGTTTGGCCAGTTGCAAAATCTTGAGGGAATTATATAGTCTAAAGTAAATCTAAATATATTAGAATCTATATGATGACTGTTTGCCCCAGGCCACTTTCGTTTCCATTTTTACTTTTCACCTTCTTGATTTCTAAGAAGTCACCACTTGTCAGTAATTGTAATTGATGTTTTACTGCTTTGGTAGATCTAAAATCTAATCTGGATCTAGAATCTAGAATAATCTAGATCTAGAATCTAGATTCTAGATCTAGCTAGATTATTCATTAGTCGGTAATCTATCGTTTTAGGTACGTAAAATCGCCCGCGACTAGTAATGTGAAAAACAGGCAACTCCTTAAATTTTAACAATTATTTAACATGTTCCCTTGTTTCATTTATGTACCTGTTTTTAAACAATTGAATTAAAACTTTTGAGTAATAAATGAAGACTAGCGATGTTTCCAACATATAACTTAAACTGGAGTAGACTAGAAATTATGGGTGTTGGGAAATAGCGAGACGGCGAGGCGGTAAACTGCGAGAATAAAATGTGAGACATACCTGCGGAATCATGGGTAAATAGCGAGTCACAATTTGCGAAAACAAGTTTATAACTAAAGAAGATGACAAATCACGAATGTTGTTGTGTTTTTTTTTTTAGTATCTAATGATCACATCTTCTGACAGCCGCTCTCGTTTTCTTGTCAGTGGGAGAAAAATTCCATTTTGATAGACGGGTCAGTGCGAGTTCATAAAGAGAATATTATTTTAGACTAAATTTTAAAAATCTTTATATAGATATTCAAAATTCTAAACATTCTGACATTTTCTAATCTGAGCGAGAAAAAAAACCCCCGCCATTTGAGGGGTCGGTATACATTTCGAACCACCCCACTTTTACTCATTAAATCTACATCGTGACTTAATAAGCTCGACCTTAATATCGTACTGCCTTGTTTTTTTTAATGGAAAAAGTACACCCGCATGCCATAACATCATTCAATGTCAATACCTCGGTGAATTTGTTCTGCTCAGTTTCAATGAGTACTAGACTACCCGTTATCTAGTTAGATAACTGTGGGTTTCGGGGGGGGGGGGGGGGGGGGTCATCCATAAATGACATCACGTCTTCCAGCACTTTCATCCCAAAATAACCAGACCCCACATTCAAAAAGAGGTTTTTTTTATATTTTAAAAACTCTACTAAACTCTACTTCACCTGCCCAGTGCCCCGCCAAGTCTCAGACATGTTTGTATTTTAAAAAAAAAACGATTCCGGCCAAGCATGGCTCTGACCACACTGTCACTTCATATGCTGAGAACATAGAAAAAGGTGAACTCTACTTCACCTGCCCTGTGCCCCGCAAGGTCCTGAGAGTCAACCTTATCATTCACATATAGGCCTTAAGAAAAAATAATTGAAAACATGAGTGTAAAAAGAAAATAAATCTTTTTACTATTACTAATGTCATTGTTCTAAACTTTTATAATTAATGTGGTTAATCTACCAATGAATATATCAATAAATTAATTAATGGCTTTAAATTAGTTTGTAAATAACAGTGTGTTTAAGAAAGAACAATATTTACCACCCAAAATCCTATTTTACAGCTTTACACATAATGCAGATTCTCCCCAATACAGACATGCCTACCGTCCCGCTGAAATCGGAACCGTCCCGCTTTTTCACCTAAAAAAGTAATTTGTTCCGTCATTCCAAAATTGACTCAGTTGGTTCCGATTTAAAAAAAAAAAAATTAATAAAGAAAGGAAATAAAGTAAATTGAAAAAAATGTCAGGAAAAAGTTTACTTACATTATTTACCAGTATCATCTAATACTAGATCTAGTAAGTAGTATATCTACTACTACTAGATCTAGAATTGTAACTAGATCTACTAGTAGATACTGAAATAGTGAATACTGATCTATCTTGTAAGTTTAACTTAACTAGTAACTACTACTATGAAGAACTTAGTAAGAAGTAACTAGGAGTTTTACTTGGTAGACCAAGGGCCTTTGCTCGTAACTTATATTATAATATATTACATATGATGAAGCCTTCAACAGTCATATAGCCTAGAACATAGCAAGAGATAAATAATCAAATCAATAATGTTATTTCAAAGCTATGATTTTTATTCGGGGGGGGGGGGGGGTTTACTGGTTAATTTATTTTTTAAAATGTAAGCTGACATTAAGAAGTATTTAAATGTATCCTAGAGACTAGTTATAGGACTAGAAGCCTACTAATGTCATTAGAGTAATTTTTAATTAATTATTTTTATTTTTGACTTAGTAAAGTTGCGTCCGCGCGTATGTTCCTCTTTTTGGCTTCAAATTCCTCTTTTTAGGCATAACTGTTCCTACTTTTGGCTGACAGGGGTAGGCATGTCTGCCAATAACAAATAAAAAAAACAAACAAACAAAAAATGAGTTATCAAACGTCACTATTCAGTCAAAGTTAAGCCATTGTTCTAAAACTTTAAAATTAATGTGGTTAATCTACCTATGAATAAATCAATAAATATAATTAACGTCTTTAAATAAATGTGTGATTAACAGTCTGTCTGCAATAAAAAATTGTTCTCTACCTACATACTATTTTACAGCCCCCCATATAGAGCAGTTTCCTTACAGTACCAAATCAGACAAACAAACAAATAAATATTCAAACATATAAACAAACTTGAGTTTTAATAGTATATATAGATAGATATAGCCCTCCCCCTTCTCCTCCACCACATTAAAAAAAAATTACTAAAGTGGTTGGGGTCAAAAGTGTGACGTTTGATTAAAAAAAGAGAGCTGGTGGTATTGAAACAACGCAGCTGTTTCTGTAATAGTAAAAATAAATTTATACAGGAAATTTGTTATCTCATTACTTAATTAATTAGTTAATTTATTTATCGCTCAAGAAAATAAAGAGAGATTGCTTATTTAGTTTATTGGTTTAAATGTATTACAGCACTCCATACTATGCGTGTGTGGTATGTGGCCTGACCTATTTAATATATATTATTATTTTTTTGAGTTTATATTTAACTCAGTGCAATAAAACCGCCAGTTGGTTGAGGCTATATCGGGGGTTTATTCTGCTACATAATAAAACAAAATTTCTTTGCAATACATGTTTGTTGCAGCAGGTGGCCTCAGTGTTCTACACAAAAGAAATAAGTTGACCTATTATCAGCTGTTTTTTGGGCGGTTTTGAACAAGGTGGTATTCTAAGTCTACACAAAAGATGGTTAAGTTGACAAATCATCGGAAGTTTTAACAATGTAAACGAAAAGTCTTTGAAGTCTGCATCAAATATCCCTGTAAATCAGTTGCAGTAAAATTTTCGCAGATAGCTTCGCATCATACCACCATCCTGCGTAAGTATCGGGTGGTGGTAAAATGCGAGGCAAAAATATCATGCGTCCGACGGTTTTTTGAGCCCTTCTCGCAGTTTACCACCTTGCCGTTTTGCTTCTTGCCTCTCGCAATTTCCCAACACCCAGAAATTATACTAGAGTAAGTCTAGACTCTAGATCACTCTACTGCGACTACTTCTAGATTCTAGAGTAGGCCGTTCAATTCACAGCTTTCGGGTTTGTTGTTTTTGTGTCATCTCACAGCCCAAGCGCTTACTAAAATGGCGACCAGTTTTGCTTTCACTATGCGGTAGATTATGAAGCCATCATCAATTTTAGAAATCGGAACTATCCATTTCTATTTAAGTCTGTTGTTTAAGAATTGTCAGGTGTACTTTTGACCTAATTTCTTTGTCTCGCAAGCATCACCTTAGCAAATGTAGCGCTATATTATGCTTGTCTTTCAAATCAAATAACTCTAAAATACCGCTTCAATATTAAACCAGACTATGTGAATAATAAACTTGAAAGCATTTTAATTTTACCCACATTACAATCAACTGATAATAATTTATAGTGTTTATGAGATGTGTTAGGAGAAATTGATCACCCCTCAATAATGCCATTTTATTAAATTCTTTTTTTTTTTTGGTGTAAATGACGCACGGGGAAAAAGTGTGCAGCGCATACTTAAAGATATCATGTTTACCTTCTTCATTGATGATCGTTTTTATTATTTTTTAAACTGAAAGTATGGATTATTAGTTAGATTGTAGGTTTTGTAACTTGGTATACTTACCCTTTATCAATTTAAAAAGCATAACATGCTGATTGTGTACAAATCTAGTCATAAAACGCAGAAATATAAAGTTCCAATTGCGATGTACCAGACTCCCCCCCCTCAAGAAAGCACATGTTTACTAAGCTGTTTATCTCCCTTTAAAACAGTAATTAAAATTAATTTTCAAATTTTTATTACTTATTTGAGTAAGAATAAGCACATTTTTACTTATAATAAAACAAATTAAAAGTAAATTAGGTAAGCTAAATTGTCTTATTTTACTTATTATTGATGCTTTTTTTAATAAAAAAATAATTTAGAAATTTTCATCAAAATGCTGACTATTTTTAAACCATATCTTGAGTGTATGTTGATCACCCTCAGTCATTTGAAGGTAGAATGCCACTTGATGGCCATCCCAGGTGTCAGGAGTGGCACAGGACACTCTTGGGTGCCACCAGTCACAGGGGTACCAGGTGTCAATAGTGGCACAGGACACTGTTGGGTGCCACCAGTCACAGGGGTACCAGGTGTCAATAGTGGCACAGGACACTCTTGGGTGCCACTGGTTACACAGTCACTGGGGTACCAGGTGTTACCCCTGGTTTGGTTTAGTCATTAAATGTATTAGCCCACTGTATACACAGTGTAGGGTGCTCTTTAAAATGAATGTAGGTGTCATAGTGATCATAGTGGAGCATGGGGGGCTCCAGGTCACATGACCAGAGGCCACCCCTGGTACATTTTGCCCTGACCCCCTGTGCAGAATGCCAAATCAATGGACCCCATGTGCTAATCTAACAAAATGCAAGATAATTAAAGCTTTATATAAAAAACTCATTCTTATCAAGTCATTATAGAAAAATATTTTAATTGAACTAACATTCTAGATTCCAAGTTAATTTAAACCTTTAGTTATCAAATTCATGGGACGGCATAATCAAATAGTAGTGCACATGACTGCTAACACAAAAGTCTTTCGAACCCAGTTTTGAGCCAGTAGGACATATCTGACTCTTTCCCAGCTCTGATAGTTAGCTGACTGACATGGCTGGGCATAGAACTGATCACACTATCCCTTTACAAACTACATTCCAAGGTCACAAAAACAAGTGAACTCTACTTAATCTGTCCTATTGACTTCCAGGTCCAAATGAGTCACACATAGCAAAAATCCCCAAGTAATAGTAATACTTTCAAACATCTACAAATAGTGTATGTTTGAAAATTTGTTTTTTGTTTGAGCAAAATCATTTTGTTATAGTCTTTTTAGTCATGCATTTTTATAATTTATTAATTTTTTTCTTTATTAACTCATTAGCTTACGATGGTAACTTTGTGAAATGTGATAATGCTGACATTAATAGTATGAGTTCTTCGGAAGTTAAGTCAACCATCATTGCTGATCAGACAGTGGAAAAATCCAAGGAATCTGAAGGCACAAAGCACATTTTGAGCAATGCCAAGGATGTTGACATGGATGCTGTCACTACTGCTCAGCCAGCAGATAATTGTGAAAGGCAGGAAGATGCAATGGATGTGGATTCTACAGCAGAAAATAATGTTGATATGGAAGATGAATACAAAGGTCACACTGAGACATTAACGCATCCTGTAAACACAGGCCAAGAAGACAGCTTTAACAGTGGTGACCATACACCTGACACTAAAGGGGAAGATACCGCGTCCACAGCAAATAATATTCCAGCTGATCAAATACTAACTGAGAAATCAAATAATAATCCAGCAACTCAAGAAGTGACTGGAGAATTAATTCATAAGCCTGCTCAAGCAACTGTAGACTGTAATAACCCGGAGGGTTTAGCTTCCCTCCAGACAACCAAGGAAGTTGGTTCAATAAGTCATAACATTGGTGGCACTGACCAAGATTCCTCTAGTGCAACAGGAGACTCCACAGCACAAATTCCAGAGTCCAGTGGACCAACACCAGATACAAACCTCAATCCAGTTCCAGATAATAGTAAAATAGCAGATTCCAGTGGTCTAGGAGATTCCTACTCCAATACAGTGCCAGGATTAACTGGAGGTAAAAACCCTGCTGAGACGGTCATTGAGAAGGCCTTAGCTGATCAAGTCCCAGAAATTAATAGCCAAAACAGTGTTGCAACTGAGAGTGACACTGATAATCTTGGAGACCGCTGTGTCAGTTCCACTCTTGGTAGTAACATCAGGGAGAACAAAAACATTGCCAAACCTGACAGTTTCAATTCTAATAAAATTGGAGACAGATCTGACAGTTTAAAAACTGATCAGGCTAGAAGTACCTGGCTTAGTCCTACACCTGGTAGTAAAACTTCTGAATCAGTGGACAACCAAAACAGTGCCCGAGCTGACCATCACGCAGATAATCTCGGAGACAACCAAAACAGTGTGCAAATTGATATTCATAATACTGATCAGGTTAAAACAATCTTGCGTACTTTAACACCTGATAACAAATTAGAAGAATCTAGTGAACCAGACGGAGAAAAAAAAGAGCCATCAGCAGAAGACAAGCCTAAGGAGACAGATACAGATACAATGGGACAATGTTTCTCTTCAAATAATTCGGCAGATGAAGAGGTAAGTTAGAATTTAAATATGAACTTCAACTCTGTTTGGCTATAGCCAAAAACTAATCTATATTTACTTAACCAAATTCATTTGGTTTTGTTAGAGCTCAGCCATTATAATGTTAATTCACATCAAATAAAACCTGTAATAAACACAAAAAAATATATTTCTTTTGTGAACGTACAGACTTTATTTGATGATGTGCAGGAAATATGGAATATGTATTTATAAAGTTTTGCTGTTCAACTTATTTTAAAGTAATCATAATCATGCATGATAAAATACTGATTTTAGTCAGGTCATATAATAAAATACTGATTTTAGTCAGGTCATATAATATTCTAAAAATCAAGTGCTAATTCTTATATGTAAGATAGAAAAGAATGAAACTTAGCTCCTTATATTTAAATTTCAGAAAGCATGTAGGATGAGCACAAGTAAAACTATAGTAAAAGCATCACCACGTGCTGTTTCTTTAATGGCAACACTTGAAGGCCTATTTCATTCCTTCAGTCATTGGATTTGTTGGCGCTTTCACCTTTTGTTAAATTTCTTTCAAAAGGTTCTTACACATTTATTATCAGTTGCTTCATAATCAACCTTCAATCTTGTAGACTTATCATAAAGCAAAATTTCACCCCCCTCCATGTTGAGGTCCACACAAATGTAGTAAATCCCTCAAACCATGCTGCCAATTTATCAATTCAATAACATGTAATGTGTTCTTTGTTATGCTATTAATTGAGAATTTAATATAGGAATTTGAAGTTTTTGCTAATATCTCTTACTAGGCCTAAATATTAAAAGTAGAGTGTTGAAAAAAAAGTATATTTATAACAACTTAGCATAAATTAGGCCCTATATGTTAAGCGCTTGGTTTATGTAAATGTTTTTTGCTGTACCAAACAGAAACTGGAAAGTATTAAACATTTTTTGTTGTTGTATTTAATAGAATTTTTTTCTGCACTCGTAGTTGCTTTATACTATTAACAATCTTAACATTTGTAAGTAGTAGCCTTCTCGTGTTCACGACCCCAATCTCTGTTTACTTTATTCTCGTTTTATATTAAAAACAATTACTCAATTGCATAAGCCACGGTAAGCGTTTGTGCAAAGTCTGGAGAAGTAAATGTTTGACTTTTATAAGCCTGGAAAACCATTATTTTTTGGAGTGGGTTTTTTTGAAAAATTCGGCAAAATTAGGAATTTAATTTTATAAATAAAACTTGTCTCTGATGTATGTTAGTCTACAGCAGGGGGTCTACAAACTGTGGCCCACGAGGCCCTCTCACCCAGTCCATGGAGATCTTTTTGCCTTTGGAAAAAAGTCTGTAATTACCATGTATCCTGCAACATCAGCCGCCACCTACGTAAACGTTATGATTTTACCTTAACCTAATTAAAATGGAGGCGCGCAGTAGTGCTTTATGTTTTCCAACCGATCACTACAGTGTCAGCAGCAGTTTTCTGACTTGCATTCAAAGGCAGAAGAAAAGAGACTTTTTCAAAACCCATTTGAAGCAGAAGTGGCCAGTTGCTAGGTCATTTTTTCTTCGTTCTTAATTTTTAGCTTTTTTCTCTAGTAGTTACACCCGAGACATTTATTCACTCGAACTGCCTATTTAATTTTGATACATTTTATATGCAGTTTTTTAATTTATTTTTTATATTTTTTATGTGTTAGTATTTTGATGTTAAATTCAACATTTGGACGTCCACATTGACCCAAACCCACATTTGGATTACCCCCTCCCCCCCTGTGTGGACCTCATAAATGAATGACACCTTACCTGTTTTACTTACTTATCACTGCAAATAATGTTTTTGTATTGTAAAAAGTTTTACCTGTATCTATTGCTCTTGTTTAACTTTTCAGGACCCAAATTCTTCAACTAAGAAAAACAAGAAGGGTTCTGGTTATGGATCAAATGACAACAGTGGTAACAACCATGTAGGTTCAGATTCTAATAGTCTTTGTAATGAGGAAAGGAAACCATGATATGAAGTTGAATCTGTCTTATTTGTTCTAATTAATGTAACTGTTTTTACAAAGTTCAATGACCTGTTCATCTGGTAGCCCCTAGTTCAACCTCTGTTCTTGCAAGAATTAGCTATCACTCTGCAAATTATAAAGCCTATGAAGGGGTAGAGATGACTCCACAGTGTCAATTAAAATACAAATTTTGCTAGACAAGAAATTGTTGCAGTTTGGACTTGATCATGCCTAGCTATACTCTTCTGTCTTTATAGCTTCTTTGGCTTAAACTATGAATTTGTGCTTCCTGTTTTTGAAATCAATATTATATTTTTATAACTTCTTTAAATACATTTTTAGAACTCTGAGAAACAGAATAAAAGACCAAAGCCTAATAGACCTGGTGACAGAGATACAGAAAAATACAGAAAGGGCTACCCAGTATGTGCTATTAAATCACTAAATTTATTGTATTTAAGGTTTCTTGTTGTAAACGTAAACCATATAGAGGGCTTTAAGTCTTCTAAAAGTATTTGCATTGCAGCATGAGGAGATGAATTAGTGGGCTAAAGTTTTTAAAAATAATATTAAATATCCTCTTGAATAAAGAGCTCTAAAAGAAAAGTAAATATTTCCATTGAATGAAGAAACAAGTTGGTTGTTGGACCATCTGGGAGACTTGTTTGGCCCACCATGATAATAGCTCTACTACAATTCATCAACAGCTGTTAACTTTCTTGTGCTAGGTTACTAGACTCTGGTATCATACACAATTAGCTCAACAATCTTTGACCGTAGCAGTGTAGGTACCTCATGATCAGACATTATTGGCAATAGAATGTAACTTTTTTTAAACAAAAGATAATGTTTGTTAAATCTTGTAGGATGGACAAAACTTTAAATGTCTGATTTCCACTTGATGTTTGATGCTTCTACAGGGCCAGAAGGACGATGAAAAAGCTAATGCAAACTGGCTCTTTTACAACAATGAAATACAGTCTGAGCCTGATGGTAAGCATTGTCTGATGTCCTCTTGTTTGACTCTCCAACAATTTTTGTTCATGATATTTTCAAGCTTATTTCTTATTTTCTGTAGTTGTTAACAAGAACTTTGTAGATAACATTTTCCTGGGCTAAGGTGCTTTTTTATTTATTGATGTAGTTAGTTATAATTCTAAACAAATGTTATTTATTTATTTTGACAGGAGCTTTTATAGATGATATACATCAACATTGGAAAGGGGATTATAAAAAATTAGAACGTCACCATGGCTATATACAATGGTACGTAGTTAAAAAAATGTCAAATATTTCAGTTAAATTCTATTTAAAAACACTTGTATTAAATATTTAATTAAATAAAAATTAGCAAATTAAAGTCAAAGAGCTTTCTAATTTATACATTGAAACTTATCTGTCATTTAATTTGTTTCTTAATCTCTTGTGTTAAAAATGTTCCTTTGAAAATGTGTAATAAATGTGTGGCAATTGGTTTTATCCAGTAGTTCTTTAAAAGTAACACAACTCTTGGATTTTGATTAGGTTGTTCCCCATTAGAGAACATGGAATGAACCATCATGCCCAACCTCTACAGCTGCATGAAGCTGAGGTAATAGTCCATGTGCAGATGTTCGTCTTGTTGAGTCTTTCAATTGCAATAGTCATTCAGACAAGATCAAGTCAAGTTTTTAAATTACTCAATGTTGACAGAGTTCAGATAAGATTTTGGAAAAAATTTTTAAGTAAAATTGGACTGCAATTTTGAGGGGGGGGGGGGGGGGGGGGGGGGGTTATAGGCTAAGGTATGACGTCATTTTAGGGGGGGGGGGTGGTGTCTGGCTTTTTGTGAGATGTGTAAAATAATTTCACATGAAATTCCTTCTGAAATGGTACTGAAGTTACACAAACATACCCACACACAGTGCAAGATTGCAAAACTAATTTCTTCAAATCAGGAAGGTGTAAAATTATCTATATTCTGTATATGCAAAAGTAAAAATGACTTCAGTATCTAAAAGCTATTTGGTGTTATTCAGAAAATCAAGAGTGACCAAGAGGCCATGAGGCGTGTACTAAAGTCCTATAGACTGATGCTAGACTTTTATGGCATGGAATTGGTAGATGAATCAACTGGTAAACTAAAGAGGTCAGATAACTACAAGGAATGTTTTCACAATCTGTCTTGGTAAGTTAAGTATTTTTTTTCTACTACAGACAAACCTGTAGATTTATATATAACATCTCTAAATGAAAAAAGATAGTAGTTTTCAGTTCTATTTGTCATACAATGATACATTTTTACCATTATTTAATGTATTAAGCATAGCTTTTTATTAGATACCATCAATAAAACTACTTCATTCTGAAACTGAATGTCATTTCAACATCTAACTTTTGTTTTCTATATCAGCACTTTAAAAAATTTAGTGTAGTTAACATCCAATTATATTTACAATTTTAAGGAGCTCACACAACTACTTGCGTATAACTCGAATACTCAAATCTCTTGGAGAGCTGGGCTATGAACATCTGAAGAAACCTTTCCTTGAGTTTGTTCTACATGAAGCTTTAAAGGAAAAAACTCTGACCAAAACACTGTCAAGTTGTGAGAGCTACTGGATTGGTACCGTCAAAAATGATGACGAGAGAGAAGAGCTCTATCAGATGATTGAGAAGTATAAAAAATAACTGCTGAAAGTGTAGTATGTTGACAACAACTTGTTTTATTTTTTTTGTTTCCTGTTGTAGGAACATTTTAAACACTTTAACATGATTATTGTTTTTAACAAAAGTTTTTGAAAAAAAAAGTTTCACGTGCTTTCATATGTATATATTTATTGTTTCATTGTTAACATCTTTAGAAACCTTTTTGTTATTTGTTGCTTTTTTAAAAATAATTAAAATAAATTCAGCATTCTTTGACAGATAACCCATACATAATCTCTTACAGTAACAAGACCTTTTTTAATCTCCCCTACTTGATTTATTTCTCCCGATAAGAAATTCACTGGTTGGAAAAGCTAAAAAGAAAATCTAGTCTCTTTAAAGTTTTTGGTTTAAATTTATTACTGGAATTTAAAAAATTAATTTTTCTCTCAAAGATAGGTAAAAATTTAACTTTTGGTTTTGTTTAAAAAAAGAAAATAAATAATGTATCATATTGAAATTTTTTAACTGTTTAATAACTTAAACAGAGAAGGATGTCTGGTTTAGATAACTATTGACTAGAGCATGTTTTTTAACAAAAGAAATAATTTTCTTTATCTTAAAGATTCAGAATTTTGACACATAGTTTTTGTTTGTTTCTCCCTGAGTAGTTTACTTTTTATTGTCTAAACCTCCAACATTATTCAGTATAATTTAATTTGTCTGGGTGTTTGAAGACAACACTCCCCACGGAGCAGTGATAGACTGGGCCGAGGCCTGTCTGTGTGAATTAATAGACTGGTCAAGGACCTCGTTAGTTTTATGGATTGAATATGCCAATTAATAAACCTGTTCTTTTTCAATTAATTTGCTTAAACATTGAAAATAAATTGTGTTGTATTGGTCTATATGTCTGTGTTAGCTAGTCTTTTAAATTTTCACATAGGCCTGTAAAAAACTCTAAGGTCTAATGATTTGTACTATGACACAAGGATTTTCTGCTCTTAGCCTAGACACTAGTTGTTAGCTTACTTTTATTCTTGTTTATAGATTATTTTGTTATGATTTTGAGTAAGTGAAAACAATTCAGAAAAATACACCGTAAATTTGTGATAATTCTTCTAGGATTGGAACACTGAACAAAGAGGACTACACCTTTATTAGGAGAAAACATAGAGTTCATGTGTTGATTATTGATTTCCTGAAATACACTTTATGTAAACCTGTTGCAGCTAAGATTTGCAAATTTTTAATACTTACCTGTTGACCATTTTATATCACGTGCTTTTGCATAAGGTGACTTATTGTTTCTCTTTCCATATCAAATGTTAATATTCTTTTGTTAGATCAGAAATGTTTGATGACTTGTATCTGTAAGCTACTATGTTCAGTCAGGTCCAAGTCAGTAGAATGTCTGAGCCCACCCAGCTCTTATGGGTACCTAAAGTAAAGGCAGCTGGGCAAAGTGCTGAACACACCTTCCCTTCTTATGCCGAGGTCAAATATATATGAATGCTACTACATCTGCCCAATGGATCACTAGGTCTAAAGAGGATTCTTTTCTTACTTACTTTTACTTGCCAAAACAGCTTTTATGCCTTCTGATTATAGAAATAGATAATCCATTTTTTATTTATTATAATTATTTGAATTACCTCCCTTACACCACATGAATGAATGAAACTATGACTGGCAGACATGATAAAATAGGACAACCAGTTTTAATTAAAACTAATTTTTGCAAATTGAGAGATATTTTAAAAGATGTATTAGTTGTAGACTTTCATGATTTAAAACCAGTGTCAGATTTAGGTTTTCTATCCATTATTATACTATAAGATTAGATTTAGGTTTCTACAACTAAGATTTTTAGTTTTCAACACCTTACACAGTGTCAGATTTAGGTTTTCTATTATGTTTTAAGTTAGGTTTAGGTTTCCTCTAACTTTATAGTGTTAGATTCAAGTTTTTTCTAACTTACAATGAGCATCCGACATCAATGTTTTACAAAGAAGTTCAAACTGGTGAAAAGTGACCAATCCTTAAGAAGACAGTAGCTGTGTTAACTTTTTTTATTTAATTTCAGCTGAGTACACCATTTTTTAATAATCTGATAGAAAATAATTATAAATGTAGTTTTACCATTGCCTACAAGAGACTAAAAAAGTTGAACACGTTTTCTGACTACATTTTAACATCATTGTTATGTATATCTGGAGTCAAAGACATTTGTATGTTTAAAAGGTTTTATTAAGATTTTCAATTATTCTTAGAATATATAGAAGAATAAAAAAAAATGTTCCTCCAATCATTTTGTTTATAGCTGCTCCATTCACGTACTGTCAAAAATTGTCACTAAAGTAAAGACCACTCTCCTCCTTAATAACATTACTAAGCTCTTTAAACCCATACCTAAAAAGAATTTTTTTTAGGAAATATGAAATTTTTTCTTCACTTTTCTTAACCCTCCTGTGTGATATCTTAGACACTCTCCAATTTAAAGTTAGTTCTTTCAAATTTGGTGCTCATTGCAAAAGAATTTATATGACACTTTAGGAGAGAATAGTTTCAAGAACCTGTATAAGGTTGTGCTGAATTCATATTTTTTAATAGTTCTGTTCAAATCAGTTTTTATACTGCTTACATCCTGCAGTTGTTTCTTGTGTTGTATTAATAATTTCAATTTCTCTGAAGCAAATTGAGGAACTCTACTTCACTTGCACCATCAGGTTCAAAAGGGAACTTTACTTTTCTGCTTTAACTAAAGTGGGAATATACTAGCTATGCAATCCCCCCACTAGAGACAGCTGATAAAATAATCTATTTGATTCAGATGATTTATGGCATACATTACACTGCTTATTTTAGAGCAAAATTTGAGAAAAAAAAAATTAAAGAATTCTCAAGGAATAAATTCATTCTTTTTATTGTTCACTATATTCACTTGACAGAAAAAAAAAGTTGGCAAGCTCAAACATAAAAAGTCAAAAACAAAAATACAAATAATTGGACAACTAAAGGAAGACAATCAATATTGTCTGATTTGCACAATTATCAGAACAGTTAGACATTTCTAAAACAAATGAAAATTTTAAAGGATTTCAGAGTCATATAGATTTGTATTTCTATACACCACTCCAAGTATTTATGATAATGTACTTATGCAACAAAACTCAATGATGAAATAAAAATCAACAAAAAAAAGTACTTATCTCTTTCAATATAAACAGATGATATTTTATGTTTGTTACTTTTTTATTCAATGAAAATCAAACAAATAACCTTAAGACTTAAAAAAAGAACTTTACAAAATCAGCATCCTTTTTAAAAGCAAAAAGGTAAAAAAATACTTCAAAACACAGCTTTTGAAAACATGGAAGAATGTCTAAGGGAAATTAAAGGAACAAAACAAATTGTGGAAGATCAAAACTAAACTGTATATAAAACAGAATTTTGTTTTGACTAAATTAGAATTATTTACATGAATCTTTTTTCTTAGTCCTAAAATGACAATAAAAAAATCAAATTGAAATGATGGGACTAGATAATGGAACCAAGATTACTAATTAGAGTACTTTTCCTTCTCTGTAATTACGCTCAAATACATTTTTAATTCTCAAATTAAATGTACTTGAAGTTATTTTCATACTTTTGGATAAGTGTGATTACAAAACTAAAGACAGTTTTACACTACAAATTTATAATGTCACTAAAAAACAATAATCAACAACAAAAATATAATACTGCAAAAATCTTGTGTACACAAGAAAGGTTTTGGTGGGAAAGGATGACGTTTTTTTTTTCTGATATAAAGAAGACATGAGAGAATTGGACATAAGTTTCTGGGATGGCAGCTGAAGTTAAACAAAAAAGTCATAACACAAGGGCATCACTTGAAGGAAAACTGGTGTTCATCTTTCATTAACATATCAAAATGGAAAACTAGGAATGCAGGCATGTAACGTTCTTTGAGCGGCTTTGAGCTATACATAAAAATACTATGTAGCAGAGACTAGAGCAAGCAAAATTCAAACAAAACAAAAAGCTAAAATCCAATCTAAAGGTATTCAACTCTTCATTGCTAGCAACTATGTAAAGCTGAACACTCTTTGGTAATGAGTGGGTACAAACTGAACACGGAAAAAAAAGTCAAACTGAACAGTATTTACAGTTTGTGGGAAAATATCATTCATAGATAAATCTATATATAACTCACTGCTGTGCTGAGCACCAACACAATAAACGCAATAAAAATAAGTACTCAACTTTGTATATCAGCCTGTAACATAATAGAAAATAACAAGAACGTAAGCAAATAAATTTCTTTCAGTGTTGTCTGATGTACACAATAAATGGCGGCAGTTAAAGGAACCCCATATTTGAAATGAGATCTTTGAATAAAAGCAAAAACTGAACACAAAATGTGATATGTGTAAAAATAAAAAAAGGAAATAAAATACTTTCTCAATAAGATCATTTAAATGTTTAAAAAAAACAACGCACATACCCAAAAATCAAAGCTGCTGAATTAGCTTTCACTTTTTAAATTTTGAATATTTAATAAGTATTATATTTAACAATAACAATTTAGTTTTTGCTAAGAGTTGTGGAATCGTACATAAGAGTCAAAACATGACATGACGATAGAATCTAAGCAGTTTTGTTCTAGACACCGGTTAGTGCAAGTCATTGTTGTAAATATTGTTGGCTAGTTGCAAGTCATTGTTGTAAATATTGTTGGTTATTATTGCTTCAGTTTCACTCATTTGAATTTTACATTTTAGATGCAAAGATGTGAGTATTTTACAATGATTAAATTGTTTGAATTTGACTGAATATTACCGGATGTGATGTATTTAATATTAAGATATAATAACTAAGTTAGCATGACTAAAAAATGAAGTTTTTGATCGGTAATTAACAAAGCATGGCAGAAATAAATTAAAACCAAATGTAATTACAGAACTCAAGAAGACAAATTGGCAAGAACACTCAGTTATAAATTAAAAACTTAATTAGTTGCTATGTACAACTATTTAACCTTACAACACAAAGCAGGATATTTTTGGCAATGTTTACAAAAAAAAATGTCCATGAAAACTGCATGGTTTAAGGAAAAATTGCTTTCTCATACACATATATATATATATCATTTATACAAGTTGTATTTTAATAGCAATTAAATTGTCTCCTCTGTGACATAATAAATGTTATAAAGCACAGTAATACAAACACAACACTCAAGATATGCCATGGATCCTTGACATAGAATTGACATCAAGAAGAAGAGTTGATAGAATAACAGAAGTCTCACAACTCTGGGTATATTGGAGCTTTAAAAACGATTGGCCAGGGGCTGGTACAACTTGTGGACCAAATAGAATAGACAATTATAAATATGAAATCAGCATGATAAGACCATTAATATAATGTATAATTTCATTTCAAAAAATTGCAAAATGCATAAATTGATTGATAAGTAGATCAATGTGCTATAAATAGGTACTGAAGAAGCAGGGTACTTTTACAAAATCACCCATCTTCAGTTATATAATATGTAACAAATACTCAAAGATATGGCATGGTGTGTCCATCTCTTACTTAATGCATGTTAGTCACACTATATATATATATATATGTATATATAAATACAATATGTAAATTTTAAGTAGTACAATTTTTAAAAATATCTGTATTGTTTTCACCAAGTATACTTAGTGAGAATATAGCTTAAAAACTATGGCTTTTCTCCTTCAAATCTAGGCATTAAATGTGCACAAAGGCAGAGAACTCTTCACAACCAAAGTCTGTAAAGGCAGTTTACTCTAATCTGACAGTTGTATGCACATATTTATGGGAGAAAAATAAGCTTCCTTAACTTCCTTCATTAAGTGTAATCAAATGTTGAGATTTTAAAAATTACATAACAAAACTCTATGTACAAATCTTTATGATAAAATTGGAATTTATAATTTTCAACAAGATTTTTTTTTAAACTTCAAGAAAAAACACTTAGGTACATCTTATTCATATAAATTACTCAGTAGAATTGGTTAAACTTATATGAAAGGTTTATAATTTTATTTCTCAATTTATAGAGAAAAATTGTCAATAAAATTTAATTTTTATTTATGTTTTTCTTAAGTAACTGTAAATCCAACATAAACAAAAAAAAATGAATCAACAATCAATTTTCTTTGAACTTATTGCTCTGACGTGGACACATGAATTTTGATCAGCATGGTGAAACAAGGAATGTAGAGAGGAAAATGTTTTGATATTGTTCAAGTAAAAGAAAACTTTGCTGTTAAAAAAACAACAGGACCATAAACACATGTAAAGTTTGCTTTAGAAAAAATAATCTACTCCATTCACATCGGATGTACACGAAGTGACTAAAATTTGTTCAACAGTATTTAGCATTGATTTCCTTAAACAGACATTTGAATCTTGAATCATAGTTCATAGTCGGCATGAAATTGAGACCATCTAAAATTGTATGAAGAATCCACATAGAGAAATAAAGGGTGGAGCAGCTAGGAGGGTAAGAGGCATGTAAGTTCACAACCATAAGCTTCTAACATGGGACACTGCAGGCACAGGATCATTACAAGCAACATTCAGACAACCACTCAAGGGAGAGAACTAAAAACAAAACAAAAACTATGTTTTGGGCCATAGAATTCTAATAAAGATTTGTGTCCATTTTACTATTTTAACTGGAATGCCCAGAAAATAATATGTTGTGATTATGAAATGGATAATTTGATTAATATATGAATGCACACCCTCATTTTAAAATGTCAGTTGATTAATTTAGCTATTGATTTGACTTTTATGAATAATTTAATTTTTCTTTTTTCCCCTTCCAAATTGTAAATTCATAAATTATCAGTCAGAGAATAGCAGACCTATACGCTTTATATTTTTAGCACTATTTTATATTTAGTTTCAATGGAATGTAAAAAATGGAAACAATTTTCCTAAAATTCATTATTAAAAAAAAGTTAAGTACATAGGTTGGCTGTGCATTTACTAAAAAAAACAAAACAAGAACAGATCTTAAGATAAAAAAAATGTGTATATATTATATGTAAAATATACTAGTGTAAAATGGAACAAAAACTGAACTTGTATAAGTTGGAATGAGACAGATCTAAAATGGAATCATATCTCATATTCCCACTTAAGCATATTATGTTTATAACAATAACAAAATACAAGCAATTCAAGAGAAATGTTTTAGAACAACAATACTGTGCCATCAATAAATCTGGTATTTTCAGCAGTTGGGGGGTACACATTGGAATCAAATCAATCAGTGGGTGGACAAGATCAAATCAATCAGTAGTGGGTGGACAAGATCAAATTAATCAGTAGTGGGTGGAACAAAACCGCATGGTTAATTAACTGGTTAATTAACTGAAAGCAACAATATTGCAGGTGGAAGCATCTGTACATTGCTTATTGTACAAGTACATGTGTGTACAGGAACAGAAAAAAAATTGTACATTGGGAATCAGATTGCAAACCTCTGTGTGTGGTGGAATATTTGATTTGCATTTAGCAACAAAGTTTCTTAGCTGTGATCATGAAAGATGAGAAACATGCATTTTTAATTTTAGCCTTGGGGTGAAACAAACAGAAAAAAATTTCATTTTTAAACCGCTTTTATGAAATCTGGAATTTTAAAATATGCCAGATATTCTAATAAAAATATACGTATTTAATGATATGGGAAAATCTATATTGCTTTTTGTTTTGTCATTGGTCATTCTTAAAGCTTTTGTTTGGAATAAATTTCCTGTTTAGAAAATTGTGCTCGGTGAGATAATGAGATAGCATCTTTGTTTGAATGCTGTCAGAGGTTTGGATGAAAACAGTTGAAAGCAGAAAGGAAGAAAGGAAACTAAAGTGAAGTGAGAAGATAACTGCTGCCTCGCTTGTTGATGTAAGAACAGGGTGGAGCTACCACAAATCAGAGACCACATCACATACACCAGTTCTCCAGACTAAATAGAAATATACAAGATAGAAGAAACTCAGTCGCTCGTAACCTACCTCACAATGTATTGTGTACATTTAGCAATAAGGGGAAACAACTCTGATAACACTAGAACAAGGGGAGTAATCATATTGCAATAGAACAAATTATTAACAGGTGGTTCACAAAGGCCTCCCCCGCTTCACAATGGGGAAGTTGATTAAGTACTCGATGACCCTGCTGTTTTAGGGTGGTTAATTAGTTTTGATATTTGATTAAGTTGATTAAAAGATGACAGCGTCACCTGGCCAGGACTAAGTACCAATGCGACAATCAGAGACAACACCAAATAAAAGGAGTTTTACTGTAAGACAGTTTTCAGTCAAAGTGGACATGCATATACGTAGGTATATCTGTATATATTTATATATATAATATAGGCTTACAATTATAGTAAAGCTTTAATGCTCAAGGGGACGAATTATTTACTTGGAAAGAATTGTGAAGTTTCAAACCTTCATTTCAGATTTCACCAAAATATATCATTGTTAACTAAAAGTAGCATAAATCATATTCCATATCTATGATATATTTGCATGTACATTACATTTTAACGACAGTTATAAATGACATTCTTGAAATGATGACATGAAACTTGGACATGACTAGCTTAGTACCAGTGGGGTATACACACAGAACTTTCCCGACGAGTGGGCGGGAAAATGTATTCAGGACAATGAACTATGGAACAGCCATGTAAATTTGGGGGGGGGGGGGGTACATTTTTTTTCTCTTGCAAGAATCACAAAGTTGAGAAAATACTAAATGAAAAAAAAAATTCTTTGGTAACACTCAGCAGTTGTGTTGGCAAGTCATCTCCAAACCAGGGGCAACTAGTCAGCCGCCGCAAACAGAAGCATAACTCAAGCAGAGTGGCTTCCCTTGCTGGATACCACGCACGTTCATTGACCGTGAGATTTGAGTTAGACGACCATTTGCATCTTGGGAACTGTTACTATCTCTAAGTCCAATTTTCGCCCGGTGCTAAAAAAATAATGCATAGAAAGTAGAAGTACTTTCAATTTGTTTGGACATGAGCAGAAAAAAAATGGCGGTTTGCCCCCTGGGATTGGGATAACTCGGGGACAACAAGGATTACAAAACAGAAGAAATCTTTTCTTTAAAAAAAAAAGAAACATTTGCTTCTTACAAAAGTGAGAAAAGGCAAATGTTTGATATATCCAAGTTTGAAAGAAACAACTCAGGCCATCTAATAACGTTATAGTCTTTGGTGTGACTGTTTGAGGTTTTTCAAATCAAATGCTGGAAAATAGATATGTGTATAACATCAACTGTAAAGCTTGACAGCCTGTCCGTGGGGGGCCAACAGTGTCTTCTGGCTGTCTTAACTGACCAACAGTGTCTTCTGGCTGTCTTAACTGACCAACAGTGTCTTTTGCCTGTCTTAACTGACCAACAAGTTCTTGTGCCTATTTTTGTCTGACCATAGCACCTGTACCAAGATTCAAAAGTCTCACGACAACTTCCGCCTGCTATAAATCTGTCTAAATATTTCTGTTGACTTTGCATAAATCAATTGCAGCACTAACACACTGTCCAGCTCGGCCATCAAAGGTCCTCATGACAGGACATTACAGGTCCTTAAGTCAGGACATTTTGACAGGACAGACCCCACACCAAAAGCCCCGTGTTCAGAAATTGTCAAAAGATTTAGCAAAAGTTGGGCAGCACCAGTATCTAGCGGCCACAGACTGAGTCAGCTGGCACCAAAAACTGATGCCAGAACTTCTTAGGTTTTCTAGCAGACGATCTCACAGCCTCTTCCGTCCCCCGGGGAGTGTTCAGCAGAGGGGTTAACGTGCCCAGCAAAGGGTTAACGTGCCCAGCAAAGGGTTAACATAGCAGCTGTCGAGAATGGGAACTTCTCTAGAACTAGGCAACTGTCTATTTTTGGAACTAGCATCTACCCTGTCTATCTTGACCAGACAAGAATCTGATGGAGCAGAAAGGTGGCACCGGTCAGTGGCTAGTCCATCATCTCGTCCATGGTGTTGCTCTCTATGACGTCTTGCAGGAGCTCGTCCACCGACTCAGACTCGGCGCTGATGCCCTTCTCGGCAAAGTTCAGGTTGGGCACGAGAATACCGAGCATGCGCACAACGTTGAGTCGCAGGTACTTGAGCTTGGCCGCGTGAGCACAGTTCTCCTTCCCCCCGCAGGAGCCGCGGTCGTGCGCGTGGGACGACTCACGGCTCTCCAGGGGTGGGGACTTCTTGCGCAGGTCAATGGCCTCGTCAGAGTGGCTCCTGGCTGGTGGCTTGGATGAGATGGGGGTGGCAGGGGGAGCCTGGGGTTCCTTTTTGATTTGGTGCTGCAGCATTGGGATGGGGGAGGACGACATGTGGGGCATGGGGAGGAGGTGGGGTGGGAGGGAGTGGGAGTTGGGGGTGTGGCCAGATGAGTTGGTGTTGGGGGAGAGGCCGGAGAGGGGGGAGAAGCCGGGGCCGTTGTGGAAACCAGAGGAGGAGTGGGGAGGGAAGTGGGGGAACCCGGGGAACAGGTGGGGTCCGCCGGGTAGGTGGGGTCCCCCAGAAAGGTGGGGCCCAGAGTGATGACCAGGGTTACGTAAGTGATGAGGGATCTCCCCGAACATCAGCGGGGACATGGGGTGGCCGTTCATGAAGAACGGGGGGTGGGGGCCGGACCCAGGGGTGCTGAACATGGAGCTGGATGGCGTGGGGGTCGTGATACCACTGGTGCTGCCTGCCCCGGGCATGGGCGATGGCTTGCTACTGCTGGGGGTCGTATTGCTGGGGGTGTTGCTGGTGGGGGTGGGGGTCAGAGGGGGTGGCATAGAGTTTCTGAGCCCATTGCTGTCGCCGTTTTGCTGTTGTTGCTTCATCTGTTGCTGCTGCTGTTCCGACTTGGCCATCTCAATGGCCTTGGTGACCAGATCCATGCTGTTGTGAGAGAGGGGCGGGCCGAGCAGGGGGGGTGGGGGGAGCTTGAAGATGCTGTTCTCGTGCATGACCTGGGTGGAGAGGTAGCCCATGCCCCGGGGGGAGCGGGTCCTCTTCTCCTTGATGTAGAAGGACATGATGCCCTCGTGCTTGTTGATGATGTGACTCTTGAGGCTGTGGCTCTGGCTGTACTGGACGCCACAGGCTCCACAGATGTAGGGACGCTCGCCTGTGGACATACGACATTTGTGTAGTGGACATACGGCATTTGTGTAGTGGACATACGACATTTGTGTAGTGGACATACGACATTTGTGTAGTGGACATACGACATTTGTGTAGTGGACATACGACATTTGTGTAGTGGACATACGGCATTTGTGTAGTGGACATACGACATTTGTGTAGTGGACATACGACATTTGTGTAGTGGACATACGACATTTGTGTAGTGGACATACGACATTTGTGTAGTGGACATACGACATTTGTGTAGTGGACATACGACATTTATGTAGTGGACATACGACATTTGTGTAGTGGACATACGACATTTATGTAGTGGACATACGACATTTGTATAGTGGACATACGACATTTATGTAGTGGACATACGACATTTAGGTAGACAAGTGGACATAAGACATTTAGGTAGACAAGTGGACATACGACATTTATGTAGACAAGTGGACATACGACATTTATGTAGACAAGTGGACATACGACATTTATGTAGACAAGTGGACATATGACATTTATGTAGACAAGTGGACATTCGACATTTATGTAGACAAGTGGACATACGACATTTATGTAGACAAGTGGTTCTTTATAATTCAAATATGTTTACGTTTTCCATTTTGAAAATCTGAAAATATTTCTTTTATGTCGCTATAATGCAGTACGTGGCGTCCACATCTTAAGACTAAATTTAAAGACAAGAATCCCCCCCCCTCCTCCCCGGGTGTAAAACTGACCTGTGTGGATGCGCAGATGGACGTAGAGATTGCTCTGGTGTTTGGTGGTGTAGGGGCAGTGTGAGCACTTGAAGTACATGTCGCTAGTCTCCCGCCGCGGCTTGAGAGGACCGTTGCCCTGGTGCGTGTTCTCTACATGGTTCTCCAGGTTCTTTTGGCGCCGGAAGGTCCGCTCGCAGAACTGGCACTTCAGGTAGTCCTTGTCCACGTTCTCGCCTAGCTTGCCCTCGAACGGCAGGAACTTTCGGGCCAGGGCGTGATCCAAGGGACCCCCGGGACTGAAAGATTGAAAAAAACATTTTTATGCAGTTTACCGAAAAGTAAAGCGCGAATCGTACAGAGCTATGGGCACGAAGATTGTTCAGTCAACGTGAATTATTCACACAAGTGTTTGCGAGAAGCTATCGCCACACAAATTGTTCAATCAGACATAGAGAGAAAGTGTTAGGATGTGACATATTCTGCAAATGGTTTTTATGAATCTCATCAAAAATACATTCAAACGGTGAGTTGTTCAGAAACATTTTAGACGTGAGTTCGGCCATACAACATAATAAGCATAACCATCAAACACGATAAGCCTATGGTAAAGGTTATCTTAAAAAAAAACATGTTTTATGAATAGCACTTTACTTTGATTCCTTTTAAAATATTTGTATTGAAATGGTCGGCGGTATCCATATAGCTTTTCTCCTAAATATAATTTGTGTAATGTAAGTTTAATGAAATCATTGTGTAAAATGGTGTGTAAGTTGCGTGTAAGTTATATGATTGTGTTAGTGGGATTTTGTTAGGTTACGTAAAATGGTGTGTACATTAATGAATTAATTAGTATAACTTAAGGTTAAATTTAACTGTGTGCAACTGGTGTATTAGTTAGGTCTATTTGTTGAGTATGTTAGCTGTTGTGTATCTAGCTATAGATGTTGTGTATTCTAGCTATAGTTGTTGTGTATTCTAGCTATATCTGTTGAGTATTCTAGCTATAGCTGTTTTGTATCCCAGCTGTAGCTGGTGTGTGAGTGATCTAGCTGGTGTGTGAGTGATCTAGCTGGTGTGTGAGTGATCTAGATGGTGTGTGAGTGATCTAGCTGGTGTGTGAGTGATCTAGCTGGTATGTGAGTGATCTAGCTGGTATGTGAGTGATCTAGCTATAACGACTAGGACCTACCTGAAAGGGTAGAGGGGCATGTTGTGTGAGTGATCTAGCTATAACGGCCGTGACCTACCTGAAGGGGTAGAGGGGCATGTTGTTGAAGCCAGGGGGGAACCATGAAGGCATCTTGCTGTTGCCGAACATGTTGGGACTGAAGGCCGTCTCGCTGATGTTGGACGCCAGGGGGTGGAGGGGCGGCAGCCCGCCGGATGATATCAGGGGCGGCGGCTGTTTCATGTCCGCCGACACGGTGACGATGATGGGTTTGACGTCAGGGGGGGAGGAGGTAGAGGATGGTGATGAGGATGGTATAGAGGATGGCATGGTTGTGTTGAAGAAGGACGGGGGGTGGGTGGGGGAGTAGGCCATGTCCCGGGGAGGGGCGTCCTTGTAGCTCCCGTTCTCGCGCTTGTTCTCGGGCCTGGACAGGAAGTGGGCGTCACTGGAGTCGACGTCATTGAAGCTGGAGTCCTTGTCGGAGTCGGAGTAGTACCTCTGGTTCTTGATGTCCTCCAAGTCCTCGGCCAACAGGGTCACCTCGCTCTCCACATCTTTCAAGATGGAGGCGATGACCTCATTCTTGATGCCGTCCTCCAGACACCTGTCTCGTAGACTGGACAACATCTGCAGCAGGTACTGGTCTCGCCTGGTCTTGGCCTCCTCAGGCTGGAGGTAGTTGAAGGTTTTCATGAACATGGCGTGGGCGTTGACCTTGACCTCGTGCATGAGGTTGTAGATGTGGATGGGGACGTCCTTCAGGTAGGAATATTTATCCGCGTCGCTGTCGCTCTCAGACCTCAGCTCCATCTCCTCGTCATCGTCCTCCGGGATGCCGTCGACAGCCTCGTGACGCGATAGCCGGTCCGCGGAAAAGTTCTCCTCGTCCTCCTTGTAGCGCAGCTCTCCGTTCAGCCTCAGTTCAGACTTGGCCGCGCCGTCCACCTCGTCGGCTTCTCGCAGCTTCTTCAGCCTCATCAGCTCCTCGTTCAGGATGTCGTCCTCGATCTCGCTCTCCTCGCTGTCGTAGGGCGCCATGATGGGCGGCCGGACCCTCCGGATGTCCTCGACCGTCGGTTTCCGCCGGGACCTCCGCTCGAAGCTGGCGTCCATGTGGCTGCTCATGTTGTCGGCGTGCTGCATGTTGGTCTCCACGGCTGAGGTCTCCGACTCCTCGAAGCTGGAGTTGAGCTGGGACTGGGGCGAGGGGGAGCTGTCCGGCTGGTCGCAGTTTCTGGCCGACATGCCGGATGTCGACACGGCCGGCTCCTCGTGGCCCGGCAAGTTTTTTCTGATGGACGATGACAGATGATGGGAGGATGACGTCGACGACGCCTGCGTCCTGACCGTGCCGTTGCTGTTGTTCCAGGACTGACACTCTGTGGTCATGTGACTAGGTTTGAATTTTTCAGCCGCTTCCAGGGCGTCACCCACCGTCTGGGGCGCCGGAGACACGGACCTGGGGGGTGACATCTCCCAGGTTTTGTTTAGCAGGGCGGATGTGGGGAGGGGGGGTGAGGACAGCATGGATGATTTGGACGACGAGATGTGGTCCCACGACGTGGGGGTCATGGAGGAAGTGACGACATGCTTCTCGTGCTTGCTGAGACTCTCAGCGGTGATGGTCTCCCCTTGCTTAGGCGAAACGGGCATTGAGGAACTGGAATTGTGGGAGGTGGCGTCGATGATCATATTCGTCAGATCCTTCGGGGCAAACACGGAGTGGAGGGACAGGAGGGCTTTGTCGCATGGGCTTTCTGAGGAAGAGATGAGGGGCTTGATGTCCATCATATTGACGTATGGAAGCAGAAGTCCCGTGTCTTACTCATTGTGCTGAAATAAATAAAACACCCACGTTATTTAAATAATTAGAATAGTCTTACCTCTGCGGAATAGTTAAAACAATTTTAATACAACACAGAATAATCCTAGATAAAAGAGAAGTTCACATGATTAAAACACGTCTCCCACGGTAGTAGTCGGACATTCTGGTAGCTAGAGTTTACCCGCTACACGGACAAAGAATGGAAAACATATCTAAGCTAGGTAGGTGAGTTTCTCGTGTGTCGCCCACCACACGCTAACACACTCTCATTCATGCCCGCCTTGACCAATCAAAACAGCCGACCGTCGTCTGCCTACCGTTCACACAATAGGTAAGCAGCTAGTACAGTCTATTGTACTCTTGTTTGGTGTCCCATTCTACTCGGGTACTGTGCCCGGCCCCACGGAGAAATGGACGCGTTTGGCTCTAGTGTATCAATCAAACGACGCACCCCTGGGGCGCTGTGCTCAGATTTATCTGTCACAATGGAAGAGAAAGTACCTGGGGGGGGGGGGGGGGGGGGCAACAAATTCCTAAATCAAACAATCTGAAACATTTCAAGCAGAACCAGACAAATGTAACCAAACGCGATCGGTTTATCTTTAAACTAGACACACTATAGAAGATGCATCGTTCCAATTCAAAGTTTATCCAAGCGAATCAGCGATTTAAATATACACATGTAGATGTAACAGATATACACAGGCTGTTACGTGGCCAGTTGCCGTGTAACTATACACAGGTACAAGTAACATTTTGTTGGTTACTGGTGTAAACATGAAGACATGTTGGAATTTTCGGGTGAGCGACCGCACATTGACACGCACCGTACATTGACACCGGGAGAGTTCACATAATGATTGATACTCATCACTTCCGGTTGTTTTTTAAAAATAACTATCTGTCTCCCACACCCCCACACTGTCTACCCACCCACCCCACCCCTCGCGCTGACCAGACCGGGCGTGGGACATCGCCCCGTCCCCACCTAAGATTGTGTAGCGCTGACAAAAGCCATCAGCCCTCCCTACAATAGGACGGCACAATGCTAGCGGAAGTTGCCGCTCCGATTTCACACATATACTTAGTGCTATTAGCATAGTCCCGGGGCCATCATCACCCCACACCCAGGGGTAACGCCGTGGGAAGCTCCAGGTCTCCGTCACGCTGGACCAGATACCGGCTGGTCCATCGCCACCCGCCTCTGCTTGTGTCCACGGGCAGGGATGACACCCCCCCCCCCGTCCCATTTTTTTTCTAAACAAACCAGACGTACATCTAGTGTGAGAAACGGAAGTGTTAAATTTTTTTAACTTGGTTTTTTTTTTTCTCTCTCAAAGGGCGACAACTGCTATACCACGACAAAGCTTTAAACAATGTATGTGAAAGAGGCTTTAGTGTCGCAACTCTTAAAGGATGATACCGAAAAAAATTCCAACCGGAAGAAAAAAAAAATTATCCTTGTTTAACAGGTGTACATTTCCATTTTAGTAAGGTAAACATTTCAACAAAGTACTTCAGATTTACCTCCCTTTACGACATTATTCATCTCCCTTTTTACACCACACAAAAAACTTGTAGTTTAACGCCGTTTATATTTTCATTATGAAATACAGTTTGGAAGTAAGCATTAGCTATTTTTGTTCCACATGTTGAAAAATAAATCGTTTAATGTTGTATCTAACAACCGCCATGACACGCAAAATAGTGTCGGGTTATGTTGGTCAAGGTCGGTCAGTTATTGACCAGTCAGGACTGGAGACAAGTGCTCCATAAAGATAAGGACATGGGGGGGGGGCTATAGGTGGGGTGGGCGGCTATAGGTGGGGTGGTTTTAAGATGCGGTGGCCTAAAGCTGGGGTGGCCTAAAGGTAGGGTGGCCGAAAGGTGGTATGGCCTAAAGGTGAGATGGCCTAAAGGTGGGGTGGCCTAAAGGTGGGGTGGCCTAAAGGTGGGGTGGCCTAAAGGTGGGGTGGCCTAAAGGTGGGGTGGCCTAAAGGTGAGATGGCCTAAAGGTGGGGTGGGGTGGCCTAAAGGTGGGGTGGGGTGGCCTAAAGATGCGGTGGCCTAAAGGTTGGTGTGGCCTAAAGGTGGGGTGGCCTAAAGGTGAGATGACCTAAAGGTGGGGTGGCCTAAAGGTGTGATGGCCTAAAGGTGGGTGTGGCCTAAAGGTGGGGTGGCCTAAAGGTGAGATGGCCTAAAGGTGGGGTGGCCTAAAGGTGAGATGGCCTAAAGGCGAGATGGCCTAAAGGTGAGATGGCCTAAAGGTGGGGTGGCCTAAAGGTGAGATGGCCTAAAGGTGGGGTGGCCTAAAGGTGAGATGGCCTAAAGGCGAGATGGCCTAAAGGTGAGATGGCCTAAAGGTGGGGTGGCCTAAAGGTGGGATGGCCTAAACAACAGTTTCAAAGGTGTGTGATGACATTGAGTGTTAAGAATGAACATTGCATTCTGGTCTAAATAGTGTGTCGTGACTAGGGTGTATGTGGGTGAGTGTATGAGTTTGTGTGTGTCTGCGAACGTGCGTGTTCAAAAATAGGCAATAGCTTTTTACGGCGCGTACTAAATCGAAAAAAAATGACTAGCTAAAAATGACTTGCTGTATTACATATTGTTCAAACGACTAGATTTTAATCAGGTTCGATAATTGCTAGGGTCACGCGATGAAAGGGGGAGGTCACCATCGATTTTCTCTGACATTGTTCAAATATTAATTGTAGCGTTATCACGCGATTGGAGATAGTTACAGGCATGTTTGGGCTTATATGTACACGCTCATATATTAACACGTACATGTATGACATTTTTACCTACATTCTAAGACATTTTTACATACTTTTAGGATATTTACACATATTTACTATATATATATATATATATATATATATATATATATATATATATATATATATATATATATATATATATATATATATATATATATTAGGGCATTGATTCGCATATTTAGGAAATATACACACGTATAGACATGTATACATATTTTTAAGACATTTACATATATATTTAAGACATTTTAAAATATATTAGGATTTTAACACATATTTAGACTTAAAATATATTTCCTTTTGAAAGATATTTACCAAATTTACGTCTCGCCAGAGTTCTACGTTAGCCAGATGAAAAAAGCCGGTGACCCAAAAGACGTTTGATAGATTTAACTGCCCTAATTAGTGGGGTCGAGCTCTAGGAAAACATTGGACGGCCTGGCCCGACCCCTGCCTCTCGTCTGCGGGTCGTACGTCACAGACAAAAGGAGTATTGATTAGCAACTAAAAGCTGTCATAGTCTGCTAGTGCTTATCTCCTACCCCACCCCACCACCCCCACCCGCCTCCTTCAGCTTCCGCTTACAACGAGGCTAAGGTGAAAAATGTTACTATAATTAGATTGTGATAGATTTCAGAGTTGGCAGCCGGGATTCATAACAAAGCTTAGGGGGGGGGGGGGCGTGATCAACTTTAGATAAAAGGGGAGTGGGGGTTATAATCTGGCATATGGCATTATTTGTGTATGTTAGGGCATACGGCATTATTTGTGTATGTTTGGGCATATGGCATTATTTGTGTATGTTTGGGCATATGGCATTATTTGTGTATGTTTCAGGGTGTGGAGAAGTGAGAAGATATATTACAAAACACGGTTAATGATAGGCCAATTTTCACGTGATCTTAGAGAACCAATCACAATTTGTCTAGCTTCTACAGCGCCCAAACATCCATATCGTTCTAAATTTAAATGTGTTTTTTTTTAAACCACAGGCTGCTAATTTTTCCGCTTCTGTGGGTTATTTCATGACGTCACATACATACAATGTGTAGCCCCCCCCCCCTCCCCCACCCCCCCATAAAACGGAACACAAAAATCCCATTGGTTGAAGAGCCAGACGGGTACACTACGGATCCCCGGGGCCCTAACGTTTTTCTGTGTACCCACACAATTGTCGTCTGCTACGGCGTGTGCGATAAGCGTGAGTACCCTCGACAACTCCGACATACAAGCCAAACTTCTTCCAAAACTTGCCCGGTCGTCTGCAGAATCGCAGCAGACGCCAATGTTTATTTTACGCGGACAAATCTTAGATAAGAGATTTTACGGTAGCTGGAAGGATGGGGGTGTGTGGGTGGGGGAGATCGATTACTGACCTACCCTTATACAGCAGGCCTCCACCAAAACGTTTAACAGTGAAATTGGGTGGAGATTTGAGGGTATGTGGTAGTTTGGGGATAATGTGTGGTAGATGATGTTGTATGGTGTTTTGTTGACGCTGTATGGTAGTTTGTGAATGTAATGTTGTAGTTTGTGGATGTAGTCTTGTAGTTTGTGGATGTGTGGTAGTTGTGGATGTGTGGTAGTTGTAGATATTCTATGGCAGCTTGTGATGCAGTGTTGTAGTTTGTGGATAAGTCGTGGATGCTGTGTGATAGTCTATGTGGTATGGTAGTTATTTGAGAGAGACTTTGAGCTTTAGAAAACATGAACAAAGATACAAGTTCAATAGCTGGCATGGGTTACTTTGTTAAGTGTTAGCTGGTGATACGAATCAGATTCTGGCAGAAAGAACCATATGGCCGCTTGCCTGATGCCCACTCTAGTTTACACATAAACGATGCAGCTATTTTTGTTTTCAAAATGCGAACACATTCGATAAAAAAATGGCCGTTTGCCGCAGATATTCTGCGACATATACATGGTAAAAAAATTTGCCAACAATGGCAGCCAATTTGCCATGGAGAGCAATTACCAATGATAACGCGATTACAATCCAATGAATTCCATTAAAATGGGACACATCAACCAATGAGGAGAGAGCTTTAATAGGGGAGGTAACCCGATGAAATCCATAGATCTCACGATTGCATCAAACTAGGCGAGCAGGTCACGCTAACCCCGGAATGTCCAGCGCTTCTTATACCCGCTAATGAAGCTAGGCCAGTGATGAGGGGGGTGGGGTGGATGCATTATTTCTGTAAGCAATTAACGCTCGTGTTTAATTTTTTTTTGTTCTTTAAAGTCGCGTGTTGATTTTCAATGCCATTGGGAGGCTGAGAGAAACGGGTGGGGAGGGGTGGGGTGTTTTAAATAATAAAAAAATTAAATCCGCTCATGTATTATTAAGTTTAATAGAGGAATAGACAATAACCATTATCGATCTAATGAGCACTTCCGCTAATTAAATAAATATATCCATACATTCGCCATCACTTAATTAAATTAACTCAAAAACTGATTTAGTCGTGACAAAGGTTTAGTATTGTTTCGCAGTTCATTGTTTATGTTTGTTCGCAAATACAAAATTATTTGTTGCCGCCGTATCAATATTGTGGAATTATCAAGTAAAATACGAGCTGGGATTACTGCAGTGTTTTAAATGGTTTTTTAAATAAATATTTATGAGTGAAATTAATACTGGTAATCTTATGGAATTTAATATTGAAACAAAAGATTGAACAAAGGACGCCGTTTGTGAATGAATCGACGCGCGCGCTGTCCAGAAAGTGGGTCACGTCTTGAGATGACCCACGGATGACCAGGGGATTATTCACCCCGGTCTCACCCCGACATGCGCAGTGGTGACCCACCCAAGTGAGCACCAGTGACGTCACTTCCTACTGCGCAGATGGCCGGGTTAATCATAGATGCTAGGTAAAAAGGCGAGGGCTCCATCAAAGGGGATTACAAAAACACTGGCACGTGCGCCGGCTTTGGGATTGTTTGTCGTGGCCTAGGTGAGCGGATCGATGGGCCGGGGGTCCGGCCTCTGTGATTCACCCGGGGAGCTTCCACTCGATTCTTTCACAAGCCTATCATTTGAGAACCACTGTCATTCGCGATGACGTTTTAAATTTTTTATATTCACGGGGGTGGGGCTTAGTTCTACAATAATAACACTCACCCCTACCCCATACATTGACTAATAAAAAAAACACACGACTTGAGATTATCCATCTAACTTAATCTAAAAAAATATTTAACCCACAGAAATGTTATTTACCGAAGGAAATTAATTTAGTCAACTCGTAGAAAATAAATATTAAGTCGTGCTTTACTTTGAAGGTAATTTTTTTTTTAAATTCACTTCCCTCTAAAAACAACCAGCTCTAAAAATACGAGTAAAAAAATATCAGTTATTTCCCTTGCCGCACTACACGTCAGAAAAGCCCTAGATGTACCTCGTTATGATTGAATCAACAAAATAAATGAATAAATAATTCCATTGAAATAAAACGTCAAAATAAAGTGAAGCTACACAATTTTTTTGTGTTTTGTCGTTAGAATATCGCCTCCCTCTGGGACCTACGTGCAGGCCTTTCTAGCAGACGATAATGACGTCAAGTGATATTTGCCAGCTAACTAATGACAGGTAGATTGGGCCGTCAATCCGGGCTAGGCGATAATGTAGGATGTAACCGTCTTGGGAGCACAAAGAAAACATAACGAAATGGATGGCTGACCAGGGGAGTGCTGATTGGCTGGCCGCTAATCACTGCACGCGCTCTCTCGATTTCAGACTGATAAGTTTTAATTTAAAATAAACCTCGGCTAACTACTGAATCATGAATGAAAACAATTGGAGACCATCTCATTTTTTAAACAGTTTTACATATATAGGCTACATTGTAAAAATATTCAGTTTTTTTTAAAGAACCAACATATACATTTAAATTGAAAATGGATAATTAATGTTTAAAAAATGTAGAAATTGTTTAATATTTTATAGTTGTCATTAATGTTGCTCATTATTGTTCATAGAAAGTATTTAATAATTAGTGACTTGATTAGGATGAATTACGTTTTGTAGATCTTTACTTTATTACTTAAAAAACACTTACGCAATGACGTTTTGTAATGGAAGGATAATTTACTGTTTGTAATTAACTTTTATTTTAATAATTGCAATTAATTGTTATTTTTATAATTTGTAATTAATTTTTCATTTTTATAATTTGTAATTGATTATTAGTTTTATAATTTGTTTTTTGTCTTTTGTAATCAGTCCAAATTTGTTATTTTTGCAATTTGCAATTAATTAGGAGCGGAACAACTTTGGACAGCCCGTGTTTTACCTCAATATTAAACACGTAAGCTAAACAAAGGTTTGAACTTGAACCTATTGCATTCGTCCAACTACTGTGTTGCAATCGTCAAGGAATGACACAACTTAAGCTTTTGGTGACAGCAACGTGTAGCCGTACTTGTAATTACAACATGTAATTATAACATGTAATTATAACATGTAATTATAACATGTAATTATAACATGTAATTATAACATGTAATTATAACATGTAATTACAACAACTTTAGCCTTTGTTACAACCATGATTTTAACAACTTCCAACTTTTGTAATAACCGCCGATCACTAAGCCTATCATAACTTTACGACTTTATTACTTACGTTATTCCATTAAATAAAGTCTTTCTTTCATAATCTAAAATCAGTGCTATCTCAGAAATATATATTTGTTTAGTAAAGAAAACAACATTTGCGCAATAACATTTTTCGGGGTGGAAAACAAGAATATGATACTCTTGGGTTTTTACACTAAAGTTATTTAACGGTTATTTTATTGCTTACAACACAGTCATATAACACGACCAAAACAAGATCATAGAAATTTTAAAAAAAGATTACACCAGGTGATAAAAATTTAAAATAACTATAATATTAGAATATTTTAGTTAGTTAATGCAGCAGTCAGTGAAATGAACAAAGAAATTACTTACAAATTTATTCTTGTCAAATTTAGCCTTGTATTTCACTACACCTATTCCCTAGTTCTGCTGGATTTAAAGTCTTTCTTAGCTCGGTTAAAAATAGTAACACGCTAGAAGAGTGTAAAAAAACGCTCATCCAACAAAGATAACGTTAGATATTTGAATACGTTAGGCGAGGGAGGGGCGGGCGACTAGGTAGGATATTTAATGAGCGACAAAGATTTACCGGGACCGTCGACAGGAAATAGACAGGTGGCAGGTAGAAAGCATTTCATTGTGAACCTACCCCGCAGGGAACAAAATTATGCAATCAAACTTCCCAGTGTGTTAAAAAAAGGCCGTCAGGTACCAGTACAGGATAAGGGTAGGAGCCTAATGTTTTAAGGTAAAAAAAAAACGGTTTTAAAAAAACCGTCAGCGAATAGGAAAGGAAACATGACCTAGTTTAGTGGCGCTAAAATGTGGATTAGAAGAAAAAAAAATATCACAACATAACCATGGAGAAGAGGGGAAAAAATGGTTCCGCTTGACTGACGGCACACGTTGTCAACCAGCCGACTCGGGGCGTGTGGACCAACGTCACTGTTAGCTTTACTGTAAACATCTGATTGTTAGCCCGTGATCGTACACAGCTTTTTATTTAAAATTAAAATTGTTTAACACAAGACAGTTCGACATTGGTTTTATTAAGTTAAATCAAATATTTGTAAACTTTCCAAAAGTTTTCTATTACAATTTACGGTGTAGAATTACAAAGTGAAACTTTTCAATAACCTAGTTAAACCATTGTTTACTAAAGTTTAATACGTGGTTTAACACTGGGTAGTTACTCTGCGAGTTTAACTAGACACAACATATTTCCCCTCTTAAAGTTATCTATTATTATCTATCTGGGTCTAACGAGACATTCAACTGTGTTCTGTAATAACGCTGTTAAAAAATGTTCTTCAATGTTGAATTGTTTTAGTAGAATTAAAAACGTGTTAGTGTTGGTGATTGTTGAATGATTGTACATTTTCTTTAAAAAAGAAACAAGACTAAAAATGCTTGTGGTTTCCACTTTGCTAATAGAGTTGATTAACTTTAATTATATCAGTTGTCTTTTTCTCAGCTAACACCGATTCCGAAAAACAAACGTAAACAAATATTAAAATAGTAACTTTAGAAAGTAACTATCGTTTACTGACGTTTAGTAAAGATTAAATTCAGAACCAAAAATCTAGTTGAAAATCTATATTGAACATTTATTATTTATTTGATAATTTTATAATTTTTTAAGTTTCTAAGTTTAAAAGTTTATTTAAATCTGTGTACTATAAATCTAAATTAATTTAGATGTAAATGTTTAGAAGTAAATCTAAATCCAAATATTTGACAATCAATTAAATAACACGCGAAGTTTGGTAAATTAAACAAGTTAGCCGGAGAGAATTATTTTAATTTAAAAGATTTAAAGTTAAAGAAAATAAATTATTTTAATCGGAAAAGTTTATTTTTTATTCAATTACAAATAAATAAATTTATCTGACGCAAATTCAACGCGAAATTGATAATTAAATGTCAAAAATAATAAACAAATTCTACTTACAAAGTTGTTTTAATTCCCTAAGCGAACAAGTACGGTGTGACGATAACGAAACCTGGTGTAAGTATCCCAGCTGGATGTACCTAGTCCAAACGAAACTGTGGCTGGGGACAGCGCGACTAGTGCCACAACTTCTGCAATACACGCAGCCAGTCGTACATTGCGAAACTAACGGCCGGAAAGTGCACGGTAAGATGTCCCACACGCGGGGCGAGGCGAGTGGGGTTGGGGCGATTTAACGGCGAGGGGTGGGCTCTACTTTCTTATCCCCCTGTTTATCCCCCTCTCCCTCGCAGATGGCAGAGGGTACCGTACGCCTAATTTTTTTTATATATTTATGCGCGGGAGAGAGGGGTAAGCGGGGGTAGAACGGACGAGGGAGGGTTTTCGTCAACCGATGACGCTAGCGTGGAATCATCGTGTGGCCAGCCAATGGTATGTGGAGCTGAATGAGATGGACAGACGCGCTCAATGGCTGGACGATGAATGGATAGTTTATCTGGGGGATGGACAGTCCCTTCTTTCTTCTTGTTTTCCTCGTCAAACTTTCCCAACTTTTTCTTAGCTTTGTTCTTTGTCGTCGTACAGGAAGCGCTAAAAATAACAACCATTAGCTACATCTAACAACCCATTGCTACATTTTAAAAACATTGAACTATCTATACATGATGTGTAAGATAGTCCTATATAGCTATACATGTAGGTCTGTTTAAATTTGAAGATATTACATTTTGAATTACAACAAAGTAGTCATATAGGAAGAGTATTGTTGGACTTACATTTTAAATCTTGATAGAAAAAAAACATACTTGAGTAACTTTTTTTAAAAAAGAAATGAATTCGTCTTATCTTTAACATTGTTATAAATAAAACATTAGGAATAACTTGTTGTTTTTTTTTTTTAAATAAAAATTAAAAATAACATATTTTGGGGGAGTTTTTGACAAGAATATAATAATTTCGTTTATCTACGAACAATGCTTTGATTTTATCTTGGAAAATTTGGACTGCCTAAATTTTTTTTAACGAAATGGATCTCGACTAAAACATTCATTTCTTAACGTTTAGATTAGGGCTAGTTACGCGGGCTATGTACCTGTGTTTTGTGTACACCTGTCGCGGTACCTGTCCCCAGCAACAAGCAAGAGGTGGATGCAGGTAGAGGTGGACAACTACACACTCCAGTAACAGGACACAGGGTTACGTCATGCCCGGGGTAGGTTCAGGGTGGCGTGGTATAATTTAATTCTCTCTAGCTGTTCGTTGGGCTCTTCAAGGTCACATGGATCCCCCCCCCCCCCCACCCACGCCACAGATAGCCTCTATGAGCTGCCTCCATTGTCCCCCCCCTGTAGGAGGTGTGTCCCAGCCTCCACTGAAGCCCGTGGGGACGACGACTGGGTGTGAGTTTATGGGCTGTTAGTTCCTTCATTACAAGTGCTCGGCCCTGAAGCCTGCACCGGTTTGTACGTATGTCGAACTGGTGCGCCATCACAGAGATGCGCACGCCTGCAACACGACAGACAGTGGTGCGCATGTCAAGTCCTGGTCTACCATATGAAACAGCAGCGCACTTGTCTAAAACACGACATGCAATTATTCACATATATAAAACACGATATACAATAATACGATAAATGTATAACACTGCCACGCGCTTTACAGCGATGTTCGGTGTTCAAATCTTATTTACGTTTTATTCACACCATTTTAGTTAAAATATTATCATTAGTTGGGGATATAAAAAATAAATAAATTAACAAACAATAAACTTTGTTCCGTAGCTTTTAGTGTACAAGTATATATTTATGAGTCATTTTAAAAGTGGCATCGAGGACTCAGAGATAACTCATTTTTCTTGACTCTCTCAAATGAACCGAATATGTTGGGTTCACGGTGTACTTTCAGATAGTTTCATCCTTCTACCCCCCCTCCCCTCCTTCGTCACTGTCACCCTCTGTTTAAAAGAGTTAATACTTTCACTTTTTTTTCTTCATGGCGACAAAGGCCAAGAATTAAAGCAGCGGATTTATCTCCCCTTTTTTCTTTCTCTCACCCAACGCCCCGCCCAGACCTCATTGGGTTAAAAAAAATTATAGGAGCTTTGAGTATAGTATCAGGGTTAAGACAGAGGGTAGGCAGGGGGGGTAGTGGTGGTGTGAGGGGGAGGGGATGTAAAAAAAAATAAAGTTATTGTCAAGCTTGATCGATAATAAAATTAATAGATTCCGCGAGCGTGTGCTTCCGGCCCATCGCGGCAAAAGACACGGCACCGTTTTGGTCGCGTACAACTTAAAGCAAAATTTGATTGGTTGGTAAGAATAGAACTACATCATTTCTCGCTGCGCCAATGAGAGAACGCAATATTCTCCGCTCCGGTCGTCCGCTCGCTCGCACGGCGCGAGACGGTGTATCCGTCCTCTGCTTCTCTCGGTAAAACCACCTCCAGAGGAAAAAAAAAAATAACCGTTTGAAATATGGAGATAATCCGGTCACTTCTTCTGCTGTTGTTCAGCGCACAACACTAGCATAATATCATATTTAATTATGTCGGTCTGACAAGGGGGGGGGGGGGGGGGGAGAGACGGGTTGGGTGGGGGGGGGGAGTTAACATACGAATTTGCTAAACTCTACTGGTGGGTTGACTAGTGGTAGAGGAGGCCTGGCCAGGGGTGAGTTATCTAACATTTATTTTGCTTAACTTTCTTCAAGACAGCGGATCACAAAATAAGAATTGAACAAGAAATAAAGCCGAATCAAAGGACGGACACTGTTACTTATTTTAAAGTATCGGCTGTTGAATAGAGGGTTGTATCGATTCAGTCGTACCTACGTATTCCAATAGATGTTTTGCCGATAATCGTACTTTAACACACTATTCCAGTACTAGATATAGGGCTACTATAAAGGCAAACAAGATTAGCAGCTATGTTTAGAGTTTGGTTTAGATTTAGGTTAGATTAAATGCTAGCACGGTTCATTTACCTTATCAAAGCAGTAATTCGTGTTGTGCTTTATTATGTAATAAAAACTTTTCTCTATTTTCGTGACAGCCGAACATTCTTAGCAGAACCGATAGGCCTATTCTAAAAACCGCGGGAAAATTAATAAATAATTTACAACCGTTACAGAGTTTTGCCGTCACATATTCTTATCCATACCCCCCCCCCCCCCCCCCGTTTTACAAAATGTTATGTCTGTAAGCCTCAGCTTCCCCGCCACATAACAGTTCCACATAACATATGTACTTAGGCAACCTCCCCATTTCCCGTCTACTTCAACCTCCCCACTTCCCATCAGCCTCCCCACTTCCCATCAGCCTCCCCATTTCCCATCTACTTCAACCTCCCCACTCCCCATCAACCTCCCCACTCCCCATCAATTTCTGTCTACCCCGCCATCCACCCACCCCCATCAACAAAAACAACGTCTAGCCGTTTGTGACATCACGTCGAGACATGCACCTGTGAAGTGAGCGATGACCACAACCGACCCTCTCCCATTGGCCAGATCTAGTTGTGTCAGACAGAGCAGACACTACACGACACGAACACAGATGTGTCCACAGGATGTCAAGTAGCACATCACGACAGGCGATTCATATTTGTGGTCATTATCTGAAAAACTAAGTCGGATCAAATCACGATATTTTAAAAAGTATAAACTACAATCACCTATGGTAAATAAAAAGTTAATAATTTATTCGGAAAAAAAATTCAGTGCGGCATATACAAATTGATATAAATTTTAAAAATATTTTTGAAGTCGCAAATAATCTAATTAGATGCATGTTTTATCCGAGGATCAGTAGCGTACGCAGGGGGGGAGCAGGGGGAGCGGCCGCTCCCCCTCTGGCCATTTTCAGCAAAGTGGCGCCTTTTTGGAAACTTTTTAAACTCAAAGTTTTAAACAGATATTTGTTAAAAAAATATTTTTGGTCGGCACATCTATGTAAATCACAAGATTTCTTTTTCATGCAGCAATTAAGCATTTTTGTACTAGTCTAGTAGTGTCTACGTTTACAACACGTATTAACAGCTACATCAGTTTGCCATTCTAAAAATAACCATTACGATGCATTGCAATGTTTAAAAAACCTCTACGGTAGTTCCACTTAACAAGAGGGGTGTTAAGTGTAAGGCAACTTTATAATGTATTTGCTTACGAATAATTGAATTAGAAAATGTTATTCATAAAGCTTCACACATAATTACTTTATATATACAGTTTGACTCGTGTGATTAATTTTTAAAAAATTACAATACAGAAACAAATACAACTGATGTGGCACCTCTATTTAAATGTACTTATGAGCAAACTGCGTAGTGGTGGGGACATTTTGACAAGGTCAACAACGTCATCACGATGAAGTAGTAGTATTCTTACAGTTTGGGCGATAGTGATTACGATTAAAAATTATATGAAACTGTTACAACCCCCCCCCCCTCACCCATGGACCCCTCTGTAAAAAATAATATTGTCATAATACCACTGCTACTTATCTATATATAAAATTCTCTACTGGGAGCCGTTAGAAAACAAGCTGCAAGCGCCTCCTTGCAGTCCCCTCTCTTTCTCTCTATCACTATCACTACCACCCCCACCCCACCCCCACATTGTCTGGTGAGCTGTAGTGACGCTAAATGTTTACAAAGCTAAATGTTTACAAGCCGTAGAGTCGGGTTTCTATTAAGGGCAGATAATTTAGTTAGATTTTAAACTTACAGGAGGTAACTAAGAAATAACTAAGAGGAGGCTGCTTTCACGGGGGGGGGGGGGGGGGGGGGGGTGTAGGGTCGGGGTTAGGGGAAAGGGGGGGGGGGTTAGTGTTTTAAAGCAAATATTTTCAGTGGCAGCATTGGTACTGTCGAATTCACAAATTATGAATTACTGAAAAGTAGAAAATAAAACAACTAAATAGCGGCGTATGATACGCTGCGGGTCGGCTCGTTTAAATCTATTTCTGTAATATATATTTGTGTAATATATATTTATGTAATATATATGTATGTTTAGAACAGTCATCTAAAAACTGACGCTATGTTCACTCTGAGTTGGTTATCTCCCCCCCCCCCCCCCCACACACACCTCACCACCACAATTGTTTATAGCGACATTAATGTCACACCTAGGTATACACTGGGTTAGATAAT